TTGTCAAATGCCAAAGTCAACCAATGCCAAAGTCAAGCAGTGCCAAAGTCAAATATCAACTGGGTTATATAATATTTGTTTTTCGGTAACTTTTCTAGCTTAGTTTATTTTTTTAGTGCAATGTCAATAATACCTTATAATAACTATAGCAAAGGAACCCATTCCTACCGCAAGTACTAAACAAAGAACAGTTCCAGTTGCTTGTCCCCAAAATGCCGCACCCATCATGAGACAGGTTTGCAACAAAAACCCCACAGCCATAAACGTTTTTCTTGCCCAGGTTACACTTAAAAGATTCCATTGCACAACCCTGTCTGCCAGCTGACCTGTAACTTGCATCATTATGGCTAAAAACAAGTAGGGCAACGCAGAAAGTATTCCTGATTTCGAAATGTCGAAGTTAAATACATCTGAAAAGCTAATAGTTATGGCTTTCTCGTTTCATACATAATTTCAAAAATCACCTTTGAAATACTTAGGAAGTAGGGTGAGTAGAGTATAGAATCCCCAAGATTCACAAAATACTGCCACCTGTAACGCCCACACTGCTTTGCATGTTAAAATATTTATCCACGGTACTGAAAAGGATTCGGTTGGTTTTGAAATCTTTCAGTGATTGCTGAATATATTGCAATTCGGAATTTGATATCCACTTGTCAGATTCTGGCGATTCCTGTATTAATACAACCCAGAGTAGGAACCAAGTTAAAGCCAATCCACCTTAAAAGGAAAATACATAAGCTATATGGTATTATGATGTAAGTGGTAATGCAAAATAATAAGGGTAATCATAATAATACTCAAGAGAGATTTGAGTATACAGGCATGCTTCTTAAAATTGAATGGATTACTCACCAACTGTTCTGGATCTCAAAATCTTTTATAGAGGTTATGCTCGAAAAAGAGCATCAAAGTTGGAATACGTATTACACAACCCTTGATATCATGATATTGATAATCCTTCAGAATGCGGAATTAATAAACCTGAGAATGTGCTAGACTTAAAGTAAAAATACTCTCAAAGGTGGCTACACACACTACTACAAGCTTGACAAGCACGCATGAACAATCTTTTTGTACAAGCAAACTGTAGCGTCTGTAGGGAAATTTGCGCAAGCATTTTAATTGTGCAAGCCGCTTGATAATTGATTGAATTTGAATCATGCAAGCTTGGATAAGCCATGCTTGCGCAAGCGAAACGATACCTGTGTACCACATATATTCAGCTTGTACAAACAATTAGTTCAGTCCGTGATCGTAAATGACCTGTACGTCGCGTCACCATCATGTCTAGCGATCTGAAAAGGAGCAATCGAGGATTATTGGAAGATTTTATTCGCGCATACGAAAATCAGCCGTGTTTTTGGCGAATTAAATCATCAGAATATCATGATAGGATGAAGAAGGATGCAGCATACAAAATTTGACTTAATAAGTATAGATTAATTGACAGCCAAGCCGATAAGGATGCCGTTATTAAAAAGATAAATCTCTTCAGAATTCCTTCTTCTTTTTCACGGCATAAACTGAAGCTTATTCGAGAATGCATGTACCGTGTGACGGCGAAGGTAAATTATGCATGGCTTAGACAAAAAGATTGTTCGAGCATGCTTGTCAAGCTTGCAGTAGTGTGTGTAGCCACCTTAAGGTCTCATAGTCAATATATCATAAGGTCTCATAGTCAAATCAACTGTCTTGTCACTAGCACTTCTAACACACTAGAAACGTTTTCTATAAAACTAATAGTTCGATGAACCACCTGCCAAGTACACGTTGACCAGTGGCATAACTAGAAATTTTAGACTCCTTCGCAACTTTCGGCCATTTCGCCCTTTGCCCTAATACCTCGATATATAATCTGCTCAAAATAATACAAGTGTGACTGTGATGCGGTGCTGACCATGGAACACATCCTATTTATTGGTACTCTCTCGACAACCTATAGATAAACAAACCCGAAGTGTTGAGCGTTGCTTGATTGTTTTATTGTGGCATATAAGGTTTTTTGAAACGGAGCCTAATAATAAATTAGGAAAAAAATCATTATCATTATCAATTTTTATCATCGTTACAAAATTTCTAAAATATATCTAAATAGCATTAACAATATACAGGGTGCCCCAGGCTGAGCGTACATTAGAAGTTTCTAGAGAACCACAATATCTAGATCGGAGATTTTTCGCACACCATTGTTTTACAACAAGATCTATCGATTAGAGATATTTTCAATATTGTGGAAGTTGGCAGCAACTTTCTTATTTTAAACGGGTACCCCCATTTTTTATTACATTCAAAAAAACAATACATACAAAACATTCAAAAAAACAATACATACACACACTGAAAATTCGATAAATATTGATATTAAACACTCTATAACCTAACATTACTCGTTTTTGAGAAAAAAAATATTTACAATTTTTGGACGAAAAAAATGTCTGCCAAAAAAAATTTGTAAACCTAAAGTAAAATTTAGTGATTTCAAAAAGGCCATCTATTTCAAAAATTAAATTGTATAATAATGGCGGTAGCTGTCATGGAACTGAGCGATTAAAAATTATCATAAATCATTTCTTTAAATGGAAATCCACTTTTTTTGTTTCACTAGTGAAAAAGTTTTCCAATTTGTTACCTTTTGAGTATACATGTTCCTATACTTAAAATAAATGGTTTTTAAGTTATTTAAGATTTAGTTTGAAAACATATGTTTTTCTTGATTTTATCTAGCTTCCTTTGACATTAAGTGTCAAACAGTCAGACAATTTCTTTCCATCTGTCAGAACACCAGTTATTTCAATTTCCAATATTATAATATATTATAATACCTGCCCTTAAGAGTTAAAAAGTGTATTTATAAAAATATATCTCGTATTTTCGCTCTTTAGTGGTGATATTTTAATAGTTGATATTAATAATATACCGGTATTATCAAAAAAAAAAAAAACAGCGCAAATTTGGCTTCGAAATGATGATCGATAATATACTGCTTTTGGAACAAAGTATCACAATATGACATGACCAGATCTCTTGTTTTACATCACTTAACGTTTAAAGTCATATACTACTGGTTAAAATCAAGAAAAATATACGCTTTAAAACTAAATTTTAAATAACTTAAAAACAATTTATTTCAGGTATAGGAACATGTATTGTCAAAAAGTAACGAATTGAAAAGTCTTTACACTAGTGAAATAAAAAAGTGGGTTTCTATTTGAAAAAAAAAGATTTATGATAATTTTTTAATTGCTCAATTCCTTGACAGCTGCGGTCATTATTATATGACATGCGAACAATTTAATTTTTGAAATAGATAGCCACATGTCTTCTCTTTATGGCACAGTAGCTGTTATAATCACTAAATTTGACGTTTAGGCTATACACTTTTTATATTTTTATTTATACACTATACATTTTTTTTTCTCAAAAGCGGTTGATGTTGGGTATAGAGTGTTAATATCAAAATTCGTAAAATTTTACAAAGAATTTATAAGTATGTAATATAAAATAGGGGCACCCATTTAAAATAAGAAAGTTGCTGTCAACTTCCGGTATTTCCGGAAGTGCCGCCATATTGAAAATATTTTCAGTCGATAGACATCGTTCGTGAAACAATGATGTGCAAAAATCTCCGATCTAGATATTGTAGTTCTCTAATGCACGCTCAGCCTGGTACACCACGTATAGTGCTTTAACTTAGTTTTAATTGTAAAAATGTAGAGTCTTTATATTTTTTTACCTGACAAATAAAAAATGCTTCTCCATCCACTGACGTCAGCTAGATATGCGTAAAACATCATGGCAAAAACGGTTCCGGTCTGACTGCCTGAGTTTGCTTGACTAATATATCTGCTTCTTTCACTAGGTGGAATCCACTTGGCCCACAAATAGAATAGACTAGAATATGTCACTCCCTTAAAATAGATTTGACTACAGAGGATTGAAATCACCCGACATCTTAAGTTACCACAAATATTCCCATTAAAATTCTTCCAGCCAGAAGAAGATAGACATTTGTGGTAGCAAACAACGGACAAAGCAAAGAGAAGAAAGAAGCTCCTGCAACACCTCCTCCAAAGATTAACTTTCCTCCAAACCTCTTGGAAAGGTATCCACCAATAATCTGGGTCATTATATATCCATAGAAAAAGGAACTTAATAAATAACCTTGAATTTTGTTATCCCAGCTGAATTCTGGACCCTGTTTAAAAGAATATAGTTTATATAACGTTGTAGTTTTGTATTCTTATCCTACTATATTTTCTTCAGTGCCATTTGGCAATGTAATGTGTATGTCCTGTGTCATAGCCACAATACCGATACTTAAGTTAGCTCGTAAAGAATAGATGTTAAAATATCCAAAAAAGGCTACAATAGCTAAAATGTTTCTTCTTTGTGTCCAAAATTTCCAACCCGATTTAGGTGTTCTAAAAACATAATCGAATAAAACAGCATATTAAAAAGGTATAATAAGTACTTACGGAATTCCATTATCAATTTGAAGATCGCCCATGTTTTGTTATAGACATGTAAGTTACTAAGTTACGCATTAAGTAGATAATTAGATATATAAAATATATCTATAAAATGCTCTTTAACTACAAAATTACATATATAATAGTTCTGTCTTTACTAAAGATTCAAACTTTAACTAATTTAAATAAACATTAACAATGCCGTGTTAAGTTTTAATAATACAAAGATAAAAATGTCTACAGCATGCTAAGGTAAACTTAAAGTTAATTATTAAACAATACAGAAAATAAAATAAGTCAAATAATACACAATGTTTATTTGGAACTCAAAAATATTTTAGCAAAGATATTTTAACGTTGATTATTAACTTAAGAAATAATTTATATTAAAATTATTTTCACAATTTAATAAAGTCCTTCTATCAGTATATGTATTTTAAGTGTTGATAACTTAATTTTTTGATTTGAAAAATTTGGTTTTATAAATTTTATAACCAAATCATACCAAAAGTGCTGTTATCATTTTATGTGTAGGTAAAAATATGTCATTGGAATCAACAAGTTATTATTGGCTTGGTACATTTCAGCTGATTTCAAAAAATTCAGTTAGTGTTAGTTTTCACGATTTTTTTTTGTTTTTAAAATTTACAATAAAGTCAATAAGTCAAATACATTTCTTAAAGTATTATACTTAGTTTATTTGAAGGTAGATCATATTTTTACACTATAATATCACTAAAACATTTTTAAATAAATAATAAAGTATTAAATACAGTTAAAATATATTCAATTATTTCTACTAATGCCAGGGTTCTCTATCCTGGTGGAATCATTAGGATCAATTTTTGGTGGAATATCCCAAGACTGCCTTAATCCCGATGCAAAAATCACAAAGAATAATGCTCCAAACAGGTACAAACTTGCTGTTATATAGAATATAACTCTCCATTGTTGTACAGTCTAAAAATTACATTTCAAGACTTAAACTTGAAAAGTCATAAACTGTGATCAAACAGTCTTTGATAGTGAATTTCAAAAAAAGCTTAAATTAGAGTTTTCCAAAAAAAGTGTTAATTACCATTAATCTCCACCAGTCAGCACCAAAAGAATTCTTGATAAGAAGAAAATATTTTGATGACATTGTGTTTATTTAGAGGTAAATGGTTTATTATTGGCATTTATTAATGGCACAAATTTATTAATGGCAAAAATAGAGCATTAAAACTTTTATTAATATGAATTCGAACTTTTCGTCCTGTATATAACTACTAAGTGAAAAAATACACATTTTCGTGACTTTTTACGTAAAAAATGTCTCTTGGTAAAAATCGCTACGAGCAACAACCGTTCTCAAGATATTATAATAATAATAGCTCCCGTATATAGCGTTTAACGCCTTAGTAGCAAGGTACAGCTTGCTATACTAGAGTCGTTCGGTATACAAGGAAGGTAATGTGGCTAGCACTACGCTCCAACCGCCTATTATTACCTCAGGATTGTGAATCCCAAGTACTCATTTAAAGCTGAGTCGACCTAGGTACCCAAACTATTTTTATTTTAATAAAAATAGTCGGCTGATGAAATGCCGGGTGTGGAAATCGAACCCACACCTTGAGATTGGTAGACGAGAGCCTGTACCTTTACGTCACGGGGCACCTTTCTCAAGATATTTAATATGGAAATAGAAACATGTCATTAGTTTCCGGAATACAGTTCGGACCACCCTGTATATTATTTTCAACAATAAGATGCTTACAAATTTTAGATGCAATTTTCTGAAATATTTGCTTTTTCTAGATAAAAACAATGAAGTAAAGCAATAAAGAGAAAAAATAAAAGCAAAGGTTTAAATTTGAATGAATGCTATTGAAAGTAGACTTACATGGTTATCAGTAGAAATTAAATATCCTGCTATAATGGGACTCATGATACCAGGTATAACACCCCACGTGTATACTAGTCCAATTAAGATACTTGCATTAACTGGTGCGAGATCCAAGACATTTACACTAAAAATTTCCTATGTTAATAAGTGTATGTATAAAGCATGCCAAATGAAGAGTACACGGGAAAAATGATGAGTGTCCAAAAACGGGGGGGGTGGGGGGGGTTGTTCGGAGCTTTTTAATTCAAATTACGTATGGACTTTTATCGTTTTCCCATTTTTAAATGCTCATAATAATAATCAAATGCTCATCGATATTCCCGCTTATTTAGGTAGCAAAAGGTAGAGCTTTTTAAGACGAATAATAGTATGCATTCAAATCAAATTAGAAAAAAATGGATACTGTAAATAATGGCTTTTCAAATGCATACTGTAAATCGATTGGGATAAATCAGTGAAAGAAATCAAGTGTAATTAAATTATAGTAATAGAATTTATTTGGAAAGAGTTCAGGGGTGGACCATTTTGCTTGTTTCTATAGGGTATCTAGGAAACCATAAGAAATATTCAAATTTTGATACTGTAGTCTCGGGTTCTTTTTTTGAAAAAATCACAATGCCGCAAACGGATCGTGGCTATCTTGATCGGTTTTGAAGCTACAGGGGGATTCTCAAATTTTGTACTTTTTGAAGATGTTCGATAGTTTGTTTATTTCAGCTACTACGCAAAAACGAATTATACATTCTAAAGGCACTTTTCTGTGTAGAATGCAGTGGCGTAGTCAGACTTTTTTCGAAAAAAATATTTTTTTAGATATTAACTATACTTCTGTTTTTTTAAATAGAACCCCCTGTATATTTTTAAATTTCCTGATTCAGCTTGGCATGGGCTTCTCGAAAATATATAACACTCTATATTTATTTTCACTGATATGTTGGTTTATATATTTATTTTCACTGAGATGTTGGTATTTAAAAAAAAAACATAAGTAGTACAGTTAATATCTAAAAAAAATATTTTTTTTTGAAAATATTTTTTTTGTTACGCACGCGTAACACAACAAATAATCAAGATTAATTCCCAACAAGTTCCGAAAAATAACGATTTTTTTTTCTTATTGGCATTGAGCATTGCTTTTTTTATTCTGCTGCTTGGCTGCGGCCTAATAGTTCAAAAACTAATGCTGCGGTTAAAATTTTATCATAAAAACATATAAAAATCTGACTTAAGCCTTTTATAAAAAGACTTAAACCTTTTTCTATTTCAGATTAAAAATTTAAATCACAAGTCATTTTGAAAAACACTTAAATTTTAAGTTTTAAGTCTGCTTTCGAAAAATGACTTAAAATCAAATGACTTAAGTCATTAAAATGATTTAAATCAACAGAAGACTTAAGTTTTCTGTGAGCTTGCAGCTCTGGTCAACGATACCTTATAATAGTTAAAGCAAAGGAATCCATTCCTACTGCAAGTACTAAGCAGATAACATTTCCAGTTGCTTCCTCCCAGAACGCCGCACCCAACATGAGACATGATTGACACAGAAAGCCTAAAGCCATAAAAGTTTTTCTGGCATAGGTAATGCCTAAAATGTTCCACTGCACAATCTTGTCTGCCAGGTGACCTGTAACTTGCATCATTATGGCTAAAACCAAGTAGGGCAACGCAGAAAGTATTCCTGATTTCGAAATGACGAAATTATGTACATCTGAAATGCTAGTAGTTATGTAGTCCTGTTTTTACGTATAATTTTAAAATTTACCTTTGTAATACTTTGGCAGTAGCGTGAGTAAAGTATAAAATCCCCAAGCTTCGCAAAATATTGCTACCTGTAATGCCCATACTGCTTTACATATTAAAATATTTTTCCACGGTACTGGAAAGGATTCGACAGGTTTCGCATCTTTCAGTGATTGCTGAATATAATGCAATTCGGAATGTGATATCCACTTGTCAGATTCTGGGGATTCCTTTATTAATATAATCCAGATTAGGGACCAAATTAAAGCCATTCCACCTTAAAAGCGAAATATATAAGTTAAATGGTATTACTTCGAATATGGTAGACAATGAGATTCAGTATTAAAACTAAAAATAAATGGATTTCCATTGTCTATTTATTTTGCTTGCACAATGTTTGGTGCAAGCCTGGTGCAAGCAACAAAGTGTCCGAAAATAAGCCCAATCGAACCATACAAATCATTCAAACCGGACAGCATTTGCAGAATGTTGTTCTAACTAAAACCAGACCTATTCACGAGCAAACTTAATACACAATACCATGGATTAGTTTGGCTCTAGGATATATACCGAAAATTTGGAGGCTGAGAGGGAGCGCCTAAACTATTATATGCAAAGATCTTCAAGCCCACCGATTTTATATTCTGTAGATTAAAGACATTTGAAAAACTAATGAATTGGCACTTTTGGGATGCTGTAATGGGGAAAGATTTCATTACAACCAACACTTTAAGAGTCTATTACGCTGTACTTTCGGATCGCTCTCAGGAGTCGGGTAAAGCGGGTCTGTGGCCGAAGGAAATATATAATATATTTCAGAATTCTGTATAAGGCTTAGTCCGATCTGGTCGTGTTAAGCCACACCCAAAATTACAAACACACGTGCTTTGATTAAGGCTTGATTAAGGTTACAGAGCTTCAGCATTTGTCATTAAATAGCGAGCAATTTGTTACAAAACCATATAAATTATATATCACTGTAATCACAAAACTCGGAACTTGTAACGGAATTTTAAATTATGTCTTTATTTTCGAGAAAATTTAGTCCAAACATAAGGAATATTTTGTTGATGTTTCACCATCAAAATTTTTAAAATAAAGTTGTCTAAAAATGTGCTACAATACGGATATAGTATAATCCTTTATCTTTAATTTCCTTCTTCATTTGTGAAAAAATACCTAGCCAATTTTACATAAAACGTTAAATGCCGAACGCTTATTTCGCTACTTTTTCGGACTAATGGACTCTTAAAAAAGATCCGAATTCTTATACCACAAATTATTTTTGGGAATTTGTTTCGAGATATTCAGTTTTTATTCCCTCTGGGGTATTGAAAATATCATTTAGCAATGCCTCCTGTAGGAAGGTGCCTTGTATTGTCAATTAATTCAATTTGAACGAGGTAGTATAGTAGGCCTACGAGAATCTGGGATATCCTTTCGGAAAATTAAAAACAAAATTGGCCGGAATGGCACAACAGTGATGTTGGACAGAGCGGTTTGTACATCGTCGTAGGACAGAGTGGTCTGTACATCGTCGTACATACACGTCATGGGGGCACTGGGGCTTTAAAAATAATAATAGATACGGCTTCACCACAAGCAGCGCAATCGGACATGAGACATGAGTATAGGGTTCGACAGATATCCATTAGATTGGTTTTTCGAAAAATTGGTGCTTATGGGCTGCAGTAAAACCGCCAGCCATTGGTATTGGTATTAACTAATACACATAGATACGTAAGTCTGACGTAGATAGGGCTTTCTGCAATTGGGTTCATTCCAGTGACGAGTTACGTTTTTGTTTATGGCCTCACGATGGCCGTAGAAGAGACCACTGCAGACATGAAAAAAGGGACCAACTTCAGTTTTGCATGGAACGTGGGACTACGCTAGCTAGAGACATTATAGATTGGGGTTCCATAACAGTTGAAAGCAGGTCATCTCTAGTTTTTTTTGGATAGATCCAATTTTTCATTAAGACAATCCCAGACTATGTACCGCTACAGTTATTAGAAATGTTGTCCGACAAGCTAATGTAACCCTTCTTTCGTAGCCCGCAAGGTCACCTAGACTTACCGCCTATTGAACATGCCTGGGATGTGATAGGTAGAAGACATTAGGCAAAGAAAACAAAATCTTCTTACTCTGGGTGCCAGCTCACCAAGGGATAGAAGGTAATAGAAAAATAAACGATCCATCTAGACAAGGAGCGAACAATCTGCTAACTGGACCAGAACCGTTCTGTTCCCCAAGTGGAAACCAATTTAAAGCGGAACTCAAGAACCTGAAAGACTCCATCTGTAACCTGGGATGATGGGAATCTTCCAACGGTCTATGGCACTCGTAGAAATTTCTCAGAACTTACGTTACGATCGGAAAAATCAAAAATTTTCCTTGATTTAAGTAAGAACAATCTTCGGATTATCACGGGGTTTCTAACAGGACACTTAATAGTAGATTGACGCCAAGAAACAACGGCGAATGCAGATTCTGTCGAGAAATGGGGAATTACCAGAACGCCTCATCATTGAGTGCACAAAGATGGCAACCATTCATGCCATGAAGTTTGGTATGACTGATATTCGAGATGGAAAATTGTAAATCCGTCCCACATACTGGCTTTTGTCAAAGCCCTGAGACTGTGTGATAAAGTGAACCCGAAGCATTAGAGTTAGCTCATTACTGGTCCAAGAAACGTAAAGTAAAAAAAGTTGAAAATTAAATTAAATGATTCTGGCAAATTTTTTCCTCGGAATGGAGCAAACATCATTAGAAAAATTAAAAGATACATATGCCATTAGCTATATATAGTGCATTTACTTAATTTTAATTAATAAAATGTAGAGGCTTTGTATCTCTTTACCTGAAAAATAAAAAATGCTTCTCCATCCACTGATGTCAGCTAGATATGCATAAAACACCATGGCAAAAACGGCTCCGGTCTGACTGCCTGAAGTTGATTGACTGGTATATCTGCTTCTTTCGCTAGGTGGAATCCATTTGGACCACAAATAGAATAAACTAGAATATGTCACACCCTTAAAATATCTTTGAGTAGAGATGATTGAAAGCACCAATATGTTTATTTACTACAAATATTCCCATAAATATTCTTCCAGCCAGAAAAAGATATACATTTATGGTAGCAAACAACGGGCTAAGCAAAGTGAATAAAGCAGCTCCTGCAACTCCTCCTCCGAAGACCAACTTTCCTCCAAACTTCTTGGAAAGGTATCCACCAGCAATCTGAGTCATTATATATCCATAGAAAAAGGAACTTAATAAATAACCTTGGATTTTGTTATCCCAGCTGAATTCTGGACCCTGTTAAAAATAATATATTTTATATAACGTTAGAGTTGTGTTGTTTTTATCGTACTATATTTTCTTTAGTGCCATTTGGCAATGTAACGTGTACGTCCTGAGTCATAGCCACAATACCTATACTTAAGTTAACTCGTACAGAATAAAGGTTGAAATATTCGAAAAAAACTAAAATAGCTAAAATGTTTCTTCTTTGTTTCCAAAATTTCCAACCCGATTTAGGCATTCTAAAAACAAAATCGAATGAAACAGCATACTCAAAAGCTTTAATACTTACGGAATTCCATTGTCAGTCTGATGATCGCCCATGATTTGTCATAGACATGTAGGTTACTAAGTTGAAATATATACATAAAACATGCTAATAAAATTCTCTATATACTAGAAAATTACATATATAATAGTTATGTTTTTACTAAAAATTTAAACTAATTTAAATAAACGTTGACAATGTCTTGTTAAATTCATAGGTTAAGTTTAAATAATACAAAGGTAAAAATTTCTGAAGGATGCTAGGTATTAGGTAAATTTAACGTTAATTATTACCACTTGTTACACATGATATAAAATAAATCAAATAAAAGACAGAATGGTTATTTGGCACTAACTTTGAATAAAAAGAGGCCCTACAAATATTTTAGCAAAATATTATTTACCGTTAATAACTAATAGGCCAGTAAGCGAGGATAAAAATAGGGTATTACCTCCGAATTCTAATTCCTCCAAATTCTAAGCAAAAAATGTTCTATAACATTTTTTCAGAAAATTAATATTTTCCGAGTTATTTAGGATTGAAAATCTTGGTTTTTCATCTAAAAACTTCATATTTTTCTGCAATTTTTTATAAATAACTCGAAAATCTTGCGTTTTATCGCAAAACTCATTATAAAGCATAAATGAAGCTTTTGGAATAACGAATCGATTTATTTTTTGTTGTTTACCATATAGGTGTAGTAATAGCCGAGTTATCACTCTGTAAACTTGATTCTTTATTTTTCGAAAACTAAATTGCAAGCTTCTTCCCTTAGGAGATGCAAGACCTTGTCGTTGGTGGGGAAGCTCCTGGTCAGGTGCTGGGGGAGTCCGCCCTAGCACTTGGCTTGGTCTAAGAAGCATCTCACTCATCGTCTTGTCCCTGACTGTAGTGTCGTGGCCAGGGAATTGCACCAAGACATATAACGATACCGGGCGGGGCCACGGACAGCCTCAACCTTGGGGCATCGGGGGGCACGCCATTGTATTTTACCCCTTACGTCTACATGCTCTGTAGAAGTGGACCGACTGTCCCTAGCGACTCATGGGAACACTATGAGATCTGGTAATAATAGTAATAAAAACATCACCGGTGTGGGGAAACCCCCTAGCGACACTGGGAACAGTAACAATGAAAGTTCCAAGGGGCCAAACCCAAAGAGAACTACAGGAGAGGTGGCTGACACTTGCGTGAGACCATCCTCCGCAAGTGACATACAAGTTTCCACCTCCTCCAAGGGTCGGAAGCCTATAGCCTGTCCAACGAGAAGATCCTTGACAGTGATAGATGTGTCTGTCATTTTAATTTCAAAGTAGTTTATTTTATTTTACAAAGAAATAAGTTGGTACAACTGGAACGCATAGCAGGAAATATTTAAAATTTGATTGACAAGATGACAAGTGATTACTTCAAAATATTGTGAAAAAAACTGTATAAAACTGAAAAAATGTAATCGAGTTATTTTATTTAATAAAAACGGTATGTGTTAATACAAAACAAACAAAGAACAAGACACTACATACCAAAAAAATATGAAAAAGAACTATTTTTTACTTTCAAGCTTTATGAAACTACCCGCATTTATGATTATATTTATCAATATAACTTATGTACAAATACAAATTTGTAATATTCCACAGGAATAAATAAAATAACATAGGTAAATAAAACAAACTATTTTATTAATAATAACACCTACCAAATTTTATACCTTAAAGGTTGATTAATTAACTTTAATCTTAATTTTTTTAAACCAGTACCTTTTGGCATTCTTTTTCTGCAGTACTAAAATCCATTATTTACCTATCGTGTGATGTCGATATTTTCCAGCTACTCCAGTTTTTAGTATGTGTTTAGTTTGATCCTTCTACCATATACGAGTTTATTTATTACGAGATTGCACTTATCTACGACGAAATGGTATACAAACTTTAACGATGGCAACTTCATTGGTGTATAAGACTTTCTGCCTGGACAGCGAGTATTAACCATAAACTGTGCTGTGGGTCTACAGTTAATTTTCACTCGATTTTTCCTCCACTTGACTTCAAAAGACACAGAACACACGTACTAATACGAATCAAAATGCATCATCTTCCAAAACGCAGGGTATTTAACAAAAGTTGACACAAAATTATAACCTATAATTTGGCAAGACTTTGACAAGCGTCAAAAATGACAAAAATCTAAAGGCGAGTTCATACGCATCGGCGTCCGTTTATCGTTCATCGTTCCGTCAAACCAATAAAATTGAAATACGATCTGTCATTTTTTAAATAAACCAATAAAACTGGTTAAAAACAACAAGACACGACGCATGACGGATTTATATTTAAACCCATCCATAGATAACTTAAAAATTATTAGAAACTTTTTTTAGTAAAATAAATAGATTGGTATGGGACGTCATCTGCTTTTCCTCTGTCATCGTCTGTAGAAATCTTACCTGAGAAAAAAAACAGAGTATACCTCCTACCTCTAAACCCAACAGACGAAGTTCATTTTGCTCTTAAAAATTAACCAAGGCATTTGTTGACACGAGTCAAAAAACAATATATTCAGAAGACATGGTTCTGAGCGAAAAATAATGCTTTTGGAAAATTTGCTTAGGAAATTATTGCACAGGTTTTTTAAAGATAGGGTAAAAACCCATTCTTCGATTAAACCTGTATAATAAATCAAATACTAAAATAATAAACTTGTCCAAAATTTTTCCGTTGCGTTTTTTTTTGCATCTTGTTGTAGGTTCTCATACCTTTATATATTTTTTTTCTTTTATTATTCTCTATTTTTGTTGTTGTTATAAGCGAAAAGAAGAAAACTCAAATGAAGTAAAGACTTTTAAAGTGCTTTTTAATAAATAGTAATTCAGAAAATTTATTTCATTAATTTTCATTATATTCGGGCTGTTCTTCACCAGTGGATTTTTTAAGATAGGGTTTTTTTTCAATATCCCAAGGTTGCCTTAATCCAGAAGCAAAAACCATAAAAAATATTGCTCCAAATAGGTATAAACTTGCTGTTATATAAAATATGATTCTCCATTGTTCTGCAGTCTAAAAAAGTTACAAAATTATATCAAAATAATTTATCGTTACATTTGTGTGTAAAACAATTTTTAAAATGGATATCACCGATTTATTATTTATTATTAAATTAGTGTAGTAAATTCATACTTTAAATTATCTTCTTATTTCATTTTAAAATTTATTCAAATTAATTATATTTACGTTATTCTTCGGAAACTTAATATGTTTGACATATTAAGTTATATTAATAATAAATGCAATAAATTAGTTATGTTGTGTGTTTGGTTTGGTGTCTATTTGTCTATTTAATAACATTTTAACTATCTTCCTGCAATTTCTTAAACAAATTCTATATACGCTTAAGTGTACTTTCAAAATTTTATATTATTGATTCTAGACTTACCGGATTATCAGTGGAAATTACATATCCAGCAATAATAGGACTTATAATTCCAGGAATGGTGCCATATGTATTTACGATTCCGAATAGGATGCTTGCATTTACTGGAGCGATATCCAAGGCATTTACACTAGAAAATTTTATAGTTAATAATTAAGTAAGTATAGAAATACAAATTAAATGAAAATTCACTCTGTGAATTTTTTGAGAGAAATAAGTGAGAAAAAAAAGACTAACTAAACCAAAAGATACAAAACTTGATAATATGTATATGTTGGAGGCAGATGTCCGAAATAATTAGACATATGGCGATTATTAAAAAAAACTACCTATATCCACAAAGTTACGCGGAAGAGTTTTCATTGCATTGGTTTCAACTTCTATGCGGAGGGTGTTAATCTTTTGTTGTTATATTATACTGAAAAAGATTAACCCCCTCCGCAAAGAAGTTATATAAAAACTATTTATAACCACGAAGTTGCACGCATCTGGCAAGTTTATTATAGACAAATCGCCATATGTTCGATCGAATTCGGCATCTGCCAATATATACAGAGAAGACCAGGCTACTAGTAACATAGCAAGTTGCCGGACGAATTTACGTTTACCCGTTTTGCGTTCGTACTCGAGAGTCACTGCCGGCTAGTCGGCTGGTCAGGCAATACGCAGTTGCAGTTGTGCTCGGACGGGTCGGTCGTGACAGACTAGGAATATGACGCGAGTGCCGAGTATTTATTATTTTCATTTTAAGTGTTTACCTTCACTTAAGGTAACATTTAAAATAAAAATACTTAAATATTTATTATTTGAGTGTGTTTACAAGCCAAAACTAAACATAAATAAATTCTCTAAACCCAAAAAAAAACTATAATATTACTCTAAATAAAAAAAAGTTATAACAAGTGTTCAAACAGACCACCTTCTTGTGCTAGACAGAAGTCTAGGCGGTCGTAAAATGTGATGAGGAGGAAAAGCAAAGGCATGCTTTCAATGCTAAAATTGCTGTAAATCGTTACTGGCTTATTCAAAAGCTAATAATATACAATAAAAATAAATTCCAGTAAAACTTAAGTTTAGTCAGTCTAGATCAGTGATTCCCAAAGTGACCCCATCGTTAGATCTAATCATTTTTTGACGTGTTTCGGGAACATGGTTCTGTGAATACTAAGTTTTTACTAGCGATATATTTTATTGATAATAATAGTATTACTGGTACCTTATAATAGCTATAGCAAAGGAGCCCATTCCTACAGCAAATACTAAACAAAACACAGTTCCAGAAGCTTCTCCCCAAAAGGCTGCACCCAACATAAAACACGTCTGCGACAAAAACCCAATAGCCATAAACGTTTTTCTTGCCCAGGTTATGCTTAGAAGTTTCTTTTGGACAACCCTGTCTGCCAGTTGACCTGTAACTTGCATCATTATGGCTATAAATATGTAGGGCAATGCAGAAAGTATTCCTGATTTTGAAATGTCGAAGTTAAACACATCTGTAAAACGAATATTTATGTTTGTTTTCATATATAATTTTCAAATTTACCTTTGAAATACTTTGGTAGGAGGGTAAGCAAAGTATAAAATCCCCAAGTTTCGCAAAATACTGCCACCTGTAATGCCCACACAGCTTTAGATGTTAAAACATGTTTCCATGGTACTGAAACTGATTTGGTGGGCTTTGACTCCTTTAAGGCTTGCTGAATGTATTGTAGTTCGGAGTTTGATATCCACTTGTCTGTTTCTGGAGACTCTTGTATTAGCAAAACCCATAGTATGTACCAAACTAATGCCAGCCCACCTATAAATAAGAATATGTATTAGTTTTACATATTGGTGATCAAGAGTTACATATTGAAAGAAAAAAAGTTTAATAAATAACTCTAAAATCTCACCGGAAAACATGTTATCACGATTTGTTATTTTTATATAAGACGAAGTATATTTCTCTATTTTTAAACAAGAAATAAATATTAAAAAAAGTATAGAGAGAACTAATTTCCTTTAAATATTTTCCTTGGTGAACACTATCCAAAAACTACTATCTTACCTGAAAAGTAAAACACACTCCTCCAACCACTGGCGTCAGCTAAATAAGCATAAAACATCATAGCAAAAACTGCTCCAGTATAACTGCCTGAATTTGCTTGACTAGTAAACCTGCTCCTTTCACTGGGAGGAATCCACTTAGCCCACATAGAGAACAAACTAGAATACGTCACACCCTTAAAACATTTTTTTAATGATTGAAAGCACAAATCACTCTTAGTTACCTCAAATATTCCCATGAAAATTCTTGCAGCCAAAAGAAGATACACATTTACGGTTGCAAAGAACGGACTAAGCAAAGTAAAGAAAGCAGCCCCTGCAACACCTCCTCCAAAGATTAACTTTCCTCCAAACCTCTTAGAAAGGAATCCTCCAAGTATTTGAGTCATTAAATATCCATAGAAAAACGAACTTAATAAATAGCCTTGAATTTCGTTATTCCATGTGAATTCTGGACCCTGTTTAAAAGTATATTTATGTACATATAGTGATGGTTTTGTATTTTACTTTTCCTACTATGTTTTGTTCAGTGCCATTTGGTAATAATACATATCTGTCTTGTGTCATAACCACAATACCAATACTTAAGTTAACTCGTAAAGAATATATATTCAAATATCCGAAAAAAACTAGGATAGCTAAAATATATCGCCTTTGTGTCCAAAATTTCCAAGTTGTTGAAGGCGACCTAAAGATTAGTCAAATGAAAATTAAAGGTTGAAAAATATTTAATACTTACAGGATTTCATTATGAATTTTTTGTTCGTCCATTGGTTTAGATTATATTTTTAAATATAAACTTATAGCAACGTTAATTATATTAATGTTCTTATATCTGAAGTAGTTTACATTATATTTAAATTCTAGTATTTTTTATCTTATTTATTGATAATTATTGATCTCGATCACAATTAAGTTAGTTGTTATATTTTAAACAAATTATTACTGTCTGGTTAAGGTCTGTTAATGTAAAATTTGAAATTTCTAAAACACACAATAGTAAAATCAAGGTTAATTTACATTTGACATAAAAGAGATCTAATACTATTAAAAGATTCAATGTTTACTTAATAATAAAAAGATTTTTAGAAATGACACTTTTATGCTGGTTTTTATCAACATATTAGGTAGGATTAGTTCAATCTAAGAATATTACGATACGGGATTTATGAGAAAATTTACGACAAAATTTTATATTATACATAAAACAAAATAAATCACTTGCATTATTTTATTAAAATTAAAATACACTCACCGGCAAAAAAATCCGGCCACTAAAAACTAGTCCCAATTTCAGAGTTGGATTTTTTTGCGAACCACTCATTAGATTTTGATGATTTTTTTAAATTGTAAATTAATTTCTTCTTAACGGATGCTACGTCAGCAATTTTTATTCCGAATTTATTTTGAGCATATACAGGGCACACAACAATAAGACGAAGTTTTTTGCTCGAACTTTGTAACACCCTGTAGAGTGCAGCAGCTGTAGTAGCTATTGTTAAATCAAATCACATTGTAGCCTGATCTTTTGTGAGCATTTTATTTTTTTAATCAAGACATTATCTCCAATATGAACAGTGATAATGTCGTGATTAAAAACAAAATGTTTACAAAAGATGAGACTACAATGTGATTTGATTTAGCAATAGTTACTACAGCTGCTGCATCCTACAGGGTGTTACAAAATTTGGGCAAAAAACTTCGTCTTATTGTTTTGCCCTGTACATATGCACAAAATAAATTTGGAATAAAAATCTCTGACGTAGCATCCGTTAAGAAGGAATTAATTTACAATTTAAAAAAAATCATCAAAATCTAATGAGTGGTTCGCGAGAAATCTAACTTTGAAATTGGGACTAGTTTTTAGTGACCGTTTTTTTTTGCCGGTGAGTTTATAATAAATTATATATTTTTATAATATCACTTGACCGAATTTGGTTTATTCTCTTCTTGTTCTTTGGATTTGGCCCATGGTTGTAGTTCTCCTGAAGCACACGATACAAAAAAGAAAGCGCCAAACAAGTATAATCCGGCCGAAATAAAAAATACTACCCTCCATTCGTAAATCGTCTAAAAAATGTAAAGGAGGTAAATAGTAAGAAAGTCTTAAGTAAAAAGATATATGACATACAGGGTTATTGGAGATAATATATCCAGACACAATTGGACTCATAATGCCAGGCATGGTTCCAAAGGTATTGCTTATGCCTAACAGTACGCTGGCATATTGTGGAGCTATATCCAGAGGATTTACACTGAAATGTATTAAAATTATATTTTGATGTTATGTTTGTTATGGTTAAAATGGATACCTTAGTATACTGGGTGCGTCTCAAAACTGGCTCACCCCTATAACTTTTTGATTTTTTCAGATAAAAAAAACGAGATTTGGTAGGTTAGTATATGACATAAATTATTTTCCCAAGGCTCTTTGATTAAAAATTAGTGTTTTTAACAGATCCATGGCCAGGGGCGGGTACAAGAATTTATTTTAGGGGGGTCCAAAATAGAAAGTAATGTAGAATACGCTTTTAGGGTGCCATTTTTAACAAAAAAGCCTAATATTTAATACAACTTACAGATCTTAGGGGGGGCCGGGCCTCATAGGCCCCCGCTCTGTATCCGCCACTGTCCATGGCACTCTAGATTGAAATTTAAAATACGAGTTTTTTAAAGCGAAAATGTAAAAAGTTGACATATGATATGCCATTCTATTGAAAATGTCATTTTCTATCGAATAAAGTAAAAATATACAGGCGTGCCATTTAAACATCAAAAGTTGTAGTTATTTCCGGTGAAACAGGAAATGACCAAAAACAATCAATTCTAATTTATGTCATATACTAACATACCAAATCTCAGTTTTTTATCTAAAAAAATAAAAAAGTTATAGGGGTGAGACACTTTTCAGACGCATCCGATATACAGGGTGTGTCTTAAAGAACTTTACCGTTTATCCCTTTACTGTTTTTCAAACAACTCCAAAATAAACGAGTCATTATACTTTGGAAATTTAAAATAAATATATTTTTTGGTTAAAGTTTGAGAAATAAAAGTTGATATACAGGGAGTTCCAATATTCCGTGGACATAGAGTCACTACGTATTTTTGAATCAAAATAAGTTAGTTGCACACAATCTAACTCTATACAAAAACGTTTTCGCAGTTTTCGCCAACTAGATTATTAGCAAATACTAGATATTTTGTGCTTACATAACTTGATGTGACAAGAAATAATTTTGAAATAATGTGTCTGTTATTTTGATTCCAAAAATATGTAGTAGTTGATGTTCACGGAATATTGTGGCACCTTGTATATCCATATAGAAATAACATGCAGTAAATAAGCAAAAAATATGCCGGGTGCGTCTCAAAAAGCGACTCACCCCTATAACTTTTTTATTTTTTCAGATAAAAAAACGAGATTTGGTATGTTGGTATATGACATAAATTAGGATTGATTGACATATTAAATTGTTTTTGGTCACTTCCTGTTTAGAAATGACTACAACTTTTGATTTTTAAGTAGCACCCTCGGTATATTTTTACTTTATTCGATAGAAAATGACACTCTGAATAGAATAACATGTTATATGTCAACTTTTGACATATTTGCTTAAAAACAAGTCGTATTTTAAATTTCAATCTATACGGTTATGTTAAAAACAGTAATTTTTAATCAAGGAGCCTTGGAAAAATAGATTTGATTACTTAATGTTTTTCGTGTCTTGTCCTGGCAAGTTAAAAGATGCCCAAATCGTATTTTTAATCATATCTCAGTTTTTTCAAAACGAACAAGGGTGGCTCATTAGCATATTTGGAAAAATCATTTTTTACGAATAATTTGGTACCACACACTTTCGAATAAAGTAAAAAATACCAAGGGTGTCATTTAAAAATCAAAATTTATAGTCATTTCTGGTGATACAGGAAGTGACCAAAAACAATTGAAAACGCCAAACAATCCTAATTTATGTCATATACTAACATACCAAATCTCGTTTTATTATCTGAAAAAATAAAAAAGTTATAGGGCTGAGTCAGTATTGAGACGCAACCGATATTGTTCCTCTTTTGTTTAGAAAAATATCTTTAAACATTTAAAATCAATTCATTAACAAATATTATGAACTAAAGTAATATTTTTACCTGAATCCTGCCCATGCAAAGGCACCTAGGCCTACAGCCATAGATAAACACATTACTGTAACGGTACTGTTAAATACGAAGGTAACAGCCATCAGGAAAATAAATTGTGCAACAAATCCGAAGAAATTGAAATATTTTCTCGTCTGAGTAACCGTTAGATATTGTCTAGTTATGAGAAAATCAGCTATTTGTCCTGACAATGCAACCATTATCGACATTGCGACATAGGGAAGACTGGAAAGAAAACCTGACGTGCCCAATTTAAAACTGTAAATATCTGTAAAATATATTGTTTAGTGTTATTGTTCTATTTAATATTTCCTATTACCATTCAAGAATTTTGGTAACTGAGTCATGAAAGTGTAGAAGCCCCAATTTTCGCTGAAGTTTGCCACACATATTGACCACACGGCTTTAGAAGAAAATATCGATTTCCATGGAACGGCAATTTCTTGTAATTTATCACTAGAATTTACTTCCATAGAAGATTGAATATATTTAAGCTCCCAATCGCTAATATTCGAATCATTATCAGGTGCATTTGCTACTATAAGCATCCACAGAGTATACCATATTAGTCCCAAAACACCTATAGAACAGATATTAAACGAATTAGCTTGATTTTCATGCATCCGTTATCGGACGATACGATGATACGATAATAATTTTATTGGTTGAATTCTTCGATTGGTTAGAAAATTACGCAGTTTTTAAACTTATTGCACTTTCAGTCCTCCGTTCATCGGATGTACGATTTGCTTGTGATTGGTGTCGTTTTATATTTTTATTTCCATAACGATTTCGCTGTTTTACTTATAGTCTAAGAGCTAGCAACGGTTTTGAGAGAGAATTTTAAGAAAGCTGGTTCTTTATTGGCTCTTAGCTCTAAATATATTTTTTGCTAAGCTCTCTGGAACAGAGTGCGGACCGTCTGGCTGCGGGTAGACGTTGCGTTCACTACTGTTCATAATATCTGTATTTAAGAACTGTTCACTACTGCGCATCACAAATTCGCCCTGTATTTCAGAAACTAAGGAGGCTATTTCAGAAACTAAGCAAAGTAATATAAAAATCGCATCATTGTATCTCTACTCATACACGAGAAATTCCATAAAACACACAAAAATGGGATACCCAGTACAGATGTGGTGCGCAGTAGTAAACCGCAGTAGTCTATAGGCAGCCAGACGGCCCGCACTTTGGTCAGGAGAGCACAGAAAAGCATAGCAAAAGATATATTAAAGAACCAGCTGTCTTAAAATTCTCGTTTTCCTTACATTAGTCTTTCCCTGGTACTATTCTAAAATAAAACGTCTGTTATCGTACGAGCTTTCTCCGTTGGCGTGCTGGAGTAAAAAATTACGCATCAAACACACTCCAAAATGTTCATGGCGTTATGACCAATTAGAGCGCCGCGCCGTCGGACCATCGTATCAACGGATAACGGACGCATGAAAAGCAAGCTTCAGGAAGTTTTATTTTTACTGTAATATTTTACCAAAAAAGTAAAATATACTACTCCAACCAAACGCTTCAGCCAGTAACGCACTCAAAGGCATAGCTACGACAGTTCCAACATAACTACCAGACGAGGCAAGCATAGATAACCTGGTTCTCTCTAAAGGTGGTGCCCATTTAGACCAAATTGCATGCAAACTTGGATATGTAACACCCTAAAGAAAAAAATAATGTTTAGTTTCCACTCAAAAAACAACTATGAAAACAGTTACCTCAAATACTCCTTCGATTATTCGGACAGCGAGTAAAAGATAGACATTGGTTGTAGCTAACCATGGTGTGATAATAGTTAGTGCTGCTGTTACAGCTATTCCTGTACCGAAAATAAGTTTTCCGCCATATTTTGCTGAGAAGTAACCTCCTAATAATTGAGTAGTGATGTATCCGTAGAAGAATGAGCTGAGAATGTAGCCTTGTATTTCGTTGCTCCAATCAAATTCTGGCCCCTAAAGAAAATTTCCCCAAGGAAAATATGAGTTTGATTTATTACTTTAATTTAACACTGTTATCTATCTATCTATCTATATTTTGCTGAATATTTTTTTTATTGCATTAATTGCATTATAGTTATTAATGATACAAGTTCGATACGAACATCATAATGAAACGTGTGTAACGTAGTTACACAAGTTTCATTAAAAAGTTCGTATCGAACGTGTATCATTCAAAATTTAATCTACGACGCGACACGAGGGACGATCCAAAGAGATTTGATTTAATTTAAAATATCAGAGATATCCTCATAAAAATTAAAATTCAAAATTATCAGGTGCCCATATTAGTCGAGGCCGTGGTAACCGTGGTTGTTGGTTGCTTCCATTTTGACTTTGACAACTCAATTATTGATGTTCAATTTTGTGTTAAACCTTCAGTTTTAGCAAAAAGCAAAAAATAATATTAATATGGGTGATTCTGATTCTGAAAGTGTCCCTTCGGATATTGAAGGCATTGCGCAAAACGTTGTCGATTTCCAACTTTCCGAAAAATCAAGACAAACGTACGAGCAAGCCTATGTAAAACATGAAGATTGGTGTAAAGGGAAAGGAATCAAGAATAGTAAGTAGTAACGAAAAGGTTCTCCTGGCATATTTTGAACATCTTTCAAAACATAGGAAGGCTTCATCACATTGGGTAGATTATTCCATGCTACGTTCAGTTATATCAGTGAAGAAAACAGATATTAGTAAGTACGTCCATTTAATTGCATTTCTAAAAAGAAAATCGGAAGGATTTCGGTCAAGAAGTCAAGAATTTTAAGAAAAGAAGACATAACTCGTTTTTTGTTGGAAGCTGATGATAAGACTTATTTCCTGACAAAAGTTTCATTGATAGTGGGACTTGCGGGAGCCTGCCGGCGCGTATCGAGTTGACAAATCTGCAGCTGCAAAATGTTAAAGATGAAGGACAATGCATTCATGTCATTATTCTATTTACGAAAACAAAGATATCACGAAATTTTTTTTATAACGAAAGGGAATATTGAAGGAATAAATATGGTGGAAATGGTTCGAAGATATATAGCTATGCGGCCAAGAACGGAAAATGGCGTACAGAAATGGAAAATGTATTAAGCAACCCGTTGGCATTAATACTTTAGGGAAAATGCCGTATAAAATAGCATTGTTCCTAAGTCTTCCAAATCCACAACAATACACTGGACATTGTTTCCGTAGATCGTCTGCGTCCTTGCTTGCACATTCAGGAGTGGATTTACTAACTGTTAAAAGACATGGTGGTTGGAGCTCTAACACAGTGGCAGAGAGCTATATAGAAAATTCCAAAAAAAAATATGAAAAAAGTATCATGTAATATTTTGGGTAACATTTCTGGCAATGATGGGTCTTCAACAAGTTCAAGCACTCAGGAAATAAATTTACTTTCTAAAAATTCAACTCACCTGTCATCGTCTGGAATTAATTTAACCAATTGTACTGATATTATAATTAATGTTTACAATAAATAAACGTATTTAGGTACCTTTTTTTGCTTGTTTCTTATTTTTAAATTTGCGTGTTATTATGAATTCATAATAGCACTAGTGCTATTATGAAAGCCATAATGACATCCAAATGACAATGTTAAATGTGTCATAATGACATAGTCGTAGATTAAGATATTTATATATGAATACTGTAATGCTATTTTGAAAGAATATAGAGTCAAAAGTAAAACATATTCTAACAAAATATCTCATAAGAATTATGTATCTGTTATAATTATCACTGCGCTTGACATAGAAATTTTTAAATTATATTATGTTACTGGAACTCATATTTTCTCCAAAAAGTCATATGGGTATTTCGCCACTAATTGTCAGCCGCGGTTTACTAATAACCAAATTTGCCTAACGGACAAAAAAATGCTTAACGTTTCGGGAAGTATATCTCTTCCCGTCAAAAAAAAACAAATAACAAAGGAAAAAACTATTTAAAATATCTAAATGCAACTATTACAACAGATACATCAACAGATACGTCTACAAAAACCGTTGACGTTCTGTTAAAATCACATTATAACAAGTTAAACTTCAAAATTAACAATTACTATGTGATAACAATTACTTAGTAAGGTAAAACCAAAAAGCTTCAAACTTTCTGTATGATTATTTTTTAATTTGTTTTTAATTTTTATAATATGTTATATTTATTTCTGTTATGTTCTTTAAAATCAAAGAAGCGGAGCCATACATTACTAACATCTAGAGATGCATGAGCAATACATTTAATTTTGTTAGATTGTATTGAAAAAGTCTCTTTTACTTTTATTTAGAGGCTGTCACTTCTTCCATTATAATTTTTCCGTTGTTAAAATTTACTTTGTGCCCTGTGTCCCATGAATGCTGACAAATCTTAGATTTTTGAAAGTCGCCCTTTCTAAATAATCTTTATGTCCTTTAATTCGGACATTTAAAAAAATAAAAAAAATCATTTAAATAAACATAACATACGTAGAAATTAAAAAAAAAATAAAAAAAACATACAGAATGTTTGAAGCTTTTTGGTTTTACCTTATTAAGTAATTGTTATTAGGTAGTAATTGTTAATTTTGAAGTTTAACTTGATAAAACGTGATTGATAACTTAAAAGTGTTCTTGAGTTGCATTTAGATATTTTAAATAGTTTTTTCTTTGTACCTACTTTGTGTTTTTTGTTTGCTTCCAACGCGACGGGGAGATATGCTTCCCGAAGCGTTAAGCATTTTTGTCCGTTAGGCAAATTTGTTTATTAGTAAACTACTGCTGACAATTTTAGTGTCCGTTGGATTAACGCAGCAGTGTTTACAAAAAGTAACTATTTTATTTTGTAGATTTTCATACAGTGGCGAAATACCCATAGGACTTTTTTGGAGAGACGAATCCGCCACAGAGGTTTAGATATTTTTTATCTCATATTTTGTTAAAATTAATAAAAATATGTTATTGCTTATTATTCTTTGATAATTTAATAATTTCAAACTATAAAATATTTAGATACTCACAATGTTAATGACGGTGCCATTTTCCAAAGTTTCATATCTATCCGATGTCATAGCAACTATAGCGATGCTCAAATTTACTCTTAAAGCATAGGCATTAAAGAACCCAAAAAATGCCATAAATGCAACTACATATCTCCTGTGTTTCCAGAATGACCACTTTGATGGAAAAGAACTAGAATTACATGAGTTATGTTTGGTTCATCTTATAGTTTTAATCAATATTATTGCAAATTACCTCTGATCATATTCTGCAGCTAATTTACTGTCCATTTCACTAAGAAAAATGTCTAAAGTTTTAATTGTACAAGAAGACTACTGTTTATTTCATTTTTATATAGCTAAAGTATACGTCGAATAATACTATCTAACATACTAAACACGCGTTATAATGAAAAAGTGAGATAAACTAGTTATTCAAAGTCTTGAAAATATTTTACTTAATTATTTTATGTTTATTTGAATAAACAAAGACGAATATTTGAGTGTATGTCTATACAACTTACCGTAAAGTAATTTTAGTAGATAATCCTTGTTATTAAACATTAACCTAGCTTAAGAAATATTTTTATGAGATTTTGGAGCTTGATTATTGCGTGAAAATACTAAGTTTATTTTCTATTTGCAATTTGGTATTTTTAATTATAATAATAATATTATCATAAAGTCTCCACATAACATTTTACCTTCCGTTTAAACTGTGAGTTAATGGCCAAAACTGTCCTCTATTCCAGAGGAAGGTTGGACATTCTAGGCATCCCTATAACTCTTCTCTTTTCTCTAACATATTAAAAAAAGTTCTCTTTTTTATACATTAAACTCAAAATAAAAAAATTATAGTCGTCTTGAATGGCAATGCTTAATAAAATTGTTAATCTGGCATCTATATCTCTTTTGCTTGGCAATAATATCTCTTTGTAGACGAAATATTTGTAGAAACGATAAACATATTTAGCCTTATTAACTTTACTTATGGTTAGCTTATGATGTGATGTGAAATAAAAAGTTTTGTAGAAAATCTTTGTTTTATTTTAAGAAGTTTCGAGTATAACTTTGCTTAAGAAAGTAAAGCCCAGTTGACACGTGTACTTGGATCCAATATACTTGGATGCTGCCATAATTGCCATATAAATATACTTATATCCTATATGGCAATATCCAAGTGTATTTGGTCAAAGTACACTTTAAGCCGCCTTAAGCAACGTAAGAAACCATCAACCGCTTGTAAAATTCTTGATGCATGTTTTTTGAGCATTTTTCTACGAATAATTTGATACTACATACTTTGTATTTTGAGTCAAATTGTCGGTATGAACGCAGCCATTGCACCCTGGATTGAAATTTAAAATACTATTATTTGAGAGAAAATGTTGACATTTGAAAAGTCATTCTATACAGAATGCAATTTACTATTAAATTAACTACAAACATACCGAGGCTATTATTTAAAAAGCAAATGTTATAATCATTTCCGGTGAAACAGAAAATAACCGAAAATAATTGAATATGTGAATCAGTCCTGATTTATGTCATATACAAGTACTACATACTGAATCTCGTTTTTTTTTTGTCTGAAAAGTACAAAAGTTATAGGAGTGAGCCACTTTTTGAAAACACCCGGTATAGTAATAAGTAATAACACGTAGTAAAAAAATAATAAAATAATTATTAGACAACGGGGTATATAGAATACTATAAATATCTATACCGGGTGCGTCTCAAAAGTGGCTCATCCCCTATAACTATTTTATTTTTTCGGATAAAAACAAACGAGCTTTGGTATGCTAGTATATGACATAAATTAGAATTGATTGATATATTCAATTGTTTTCCGTCACTTTCAGTTTTACCGGAAATGACTACAACTTTTGAATGGCAGTCTCGGTATTTTTTTACTTTATTCGATAGAAAATTATACTTTGAATAGAATGACTTATCATATGTCAACTTTTGACATTTTCGCATATGGTTTATTTGAAATTATAAAATGCGGTTCATAACGACAATTTGACTCGAAATACCAAGTGTGTGGTATCAAATTATTCGTAAAAAAATGCTTTTCCAGATATGCTAACGAGCTACCCTCGTTCCGTTTGAAAAAGTTGAGATATGATTAAAAATACGATTTGGGCATCTTTGAACCGACCAGGACAAGGCACTAAAAACATTAGACGACCAAATATATTTTTCCAAGGCTCCATGATTAAAAATTAGTGTTTGTAACTAGTAACTCTAGATTGTAACTCTAGATTGAAATTTACAATACAACTTTGTTTTAAGCGAAAATGTCAAAAGTTGACATATGATATGTCATTCGATTCAGAGTGTCATTTTCTATCGAATAAAGTAAAAAAATACCGAGGCCATTTAAAAATTAATAGTTGTAGTTATTTCCAGTGAAACAGGTAGTGACCGAAAACAATTGAATACGTCAATCAATCATACGTCATCAATCAATACGTAAATCAATCATTGAATCACGTCATATACTAACATACCAAATCTCGTTGTTTTATCTGAAAAAATGAAAAAGTTATAGGGGTGAGCCACTTTTGAGGCGCGTATAGTATATAGAATATTATAAAATTCAATTGTACAAATATTGGCAATTGGAAAAAAATATTATTTCTAACATTATAAGTGGAATATTAGAGACATAAATGTAATTTAAAATCAGTAATTATAATATATATATTATCATCTATTGATATTAAAATTAACAGTAAATACATAAAAGTATACTCGTATATTCGTATACAGGGTGTTCCTTAAAATGACATGCTAATATTTAAGGGGGTGATTTTTGGGTCTATTCTAAGAAAAAAACTTCATATGAATGTATGTCCTAAATATCTTTACTTTTCAGATACAGGGTGGTAAAATTTTCGAATTTTTTTATCAAAATATCTCTGATGTTTTTTTTTGTACACGTCTTCCATGCATTTTGATGCATATTTTGATATATAAAAAAAACGTTTTATTTTTAATTTCCTTCCAGCCAACGCAGAAACGATTTCCACGCAACAGTCACCGGATCAGATTTTCAGCGATTTGACCCTGATGTAAACTGACTTTAATTTTGTTAGGTTGTTAATGTTAAGCAAAAACTATGAATCGGACGAAAAAAATCAAGAGATAAAAAATGTTTAATTAGAAATCAAGAAATTTTGAAATTAACTCAGAAATTAAGATGTTTCGGGATTTCATATGGAGTTTCTCTCTTTCTCTCTTCATTCATATGAAGTTTCTCTCTTAGAATAGGTTCAAGAATCGCCCCCTTAAATATTAACATGTCATTAAGAAACACCCTGTATAATGATTGTAAATGGTGTTGATTTTAAATAAATATATAAATTTTTCTTAAAATAGATATGTTAGTTTTATATGAATCAATAAACTAAAAGGGCTAAAAAGTCAAACAGAATAATATCCTAACGTAATAGATGTTTATAATATTTACCTTTTAAGCACAATGTTTTTCGTTCAATGTCAATTCATTAATTCGAGATTTTATAGTTGTCCAGCACAGTAAAATTACAGATATTGTTAGCAAAATTTAATCGACGTGTGAACAATTATTTTAAATCTAATTTAGGCACGAAAACAATATGTAATTAGGCGGTATAACGATGAAAATATTATAGGATACCTGTAATGTGTTTTTTGATATTAATAACAACTACATTTTTTGTACCAATTTATTATTTCCTACAATTCATCATCATTCGTAAAAGTTTTGTTTTCAACTCCTTTATTTTTGTCTTGTTTTTCAACACCAGAGTCTTCATTTTTTTCAATAGCCCATGGTTGTAACTCACCAGATGCTAAAGAACCGTATATTATTGCACCAAATAAATAGACGGCTGCTGATATATAAAACACTATTTGCCACTCGTGCACTTGCTATAAAATAACAATTAAGTTAAAAAAGGGTTTACGTTGAGATATAGTAATATGTACTTACTGGTGGTTTAGAAACAACGTAGCCGGATAGTATGGGACTGACAATGCCTGGAAGAGTGGCAATGGTGTTGCCGATACCCATGAGAACACTTGCGTACTGTGGAGCAATGTCTAGATGGTTTACACTGAAAAAAAATGGATTAATAAATAAAATTCCATCTTTTTAGGTAGAATTCTATATAGATAAGTTAGTACAGAGTTAATATTTTATTGTTTCCCTCATTAACAGGCTGTAACTTTTTATTTTTCGACCTAGAACATTCTTTTTTTCTGAAATGGCGTTCGCAGGTTTATGACTAGAAAATAAACAATCTTTTATTTAAAAAATTGCCGACGTTTCGACGTGTATTTTCGTCTTTAACAGGGCTATTTTCAGCAGATAAAGACGAAAATACACGTCAAAACGTCGGTAATTTTCTTTTACTACTACAAAAACCTTTTATTTTGTCTATCACAAGGATGCAAATCTACTATTAATTTTTTCTAGTTTCAATATTGAATTTTTAATACGTATTACCAATAATGTCATACGCTGTCAAATGTCTCATATATTGGTAAAGATTGTATTTTTATAAATGAAAAACCCTATATACAGGGTGTCCCAATATTTATGAAGCACTTTTGTATAAAGGTAAATTATGTTCAATAAACTTATATTCAGTCTAAAAATACGTAGTACTTCTATGTCCATGGAATATTAGGACACCTTGTAGGTATATTAAAAGTGCACATTTATATTAGATGGCACATTTTTCTGATTTCAAAAATTTAGCACACGTGCCCTTACTTTTTAATATTTTTATCGAAAAAAAAATGATAAAATATACAGGGTGAGTATTAAATAAGCAATATTTTCCAGGTTAGTAGATCTCGAAAAAAAAATCATATTTTCTCTGTACCGTTGTTAAAATAACCCTAAAATAACCTAGTTATTTTACTTCGAAAATTTGAAAAAAAAAATATTTTTTACTTAAATTTTGAGAACCCCTGGACCTTTTCTGGGTTTTCTTTCTTGTAAATACAATCTACTACCTATGTTGCCATATTATCAAGAAGTTATATTTTTTAAGTAAAAACTAAAAAAAAATCCAAAAAGTTTTCGCAAAAAAACCTCATAGACGTGTTTCTGTACACCTAAAATATTTGCACTTATTTCAGACTCACCCTGTATATTTGCAATGTTAACATTTTTATTAGTTTCAAGTCAGACATACAGGGTGTCCCAGAAAAAAGTGCAAGTATTTTAAGGGGTGGTAAATCTCGATAAAAGAAACATATTTTCTCTTTATCGTTTTTCAAATAAGTTCAAAATGACGGAGTTATTTTACTCTGAAAATTTCCAAAAAAATGTTTTTTTGCTAAAATTTTCAGAACCACTGGATCTTTTCTAGATTTTCCTTCTTGTAAATTTAATCTAATACATATGTTGCTATATATTATCAAGAAATTATTTTTTTTAACTAAAAACTAAAAAAAAAATTTCAAAAAAATTTCGGATTTTTATTTTTTTTTCGCGAAAAAAACCTCATTATGCGTGTTTCTGTTTTCTGTGTTTTTTTTTATAGGCGTGTTTCTGGGGTTGAACTATACTACCAGTTAAAATACTTGCACTTATTTCTGGGACACCCTGTATAGTTAGGAGGACATTAGTTAGAATTTAAAATGTAGAGTGGTTTTACATCTACTATTTTTACACGATTCTATCAAAATTTGAATATAACTTTTATACATTATAAGACTGCTATTTGGTTTTCATATTATACAGCGTAGTACTTCCTATAATGCAAGGATGTCTTAAACATGGTAAGAAAAATCTTTCTAATCGAAGTTTTATAATTCATAGATCATATTAGTAGACGTTAGAGATAAGCAGTACCTTTATATTCTTAAATTCATATTGTCACGTAAAAAAATCACGAGGTATTTAGTCAGGAACAATGGATAATTGAAAAACTACATACATATTTGTGATTTATACCATTGTAACATAAAACATTCCTGAAATAATTTTTTGATAAAAATTTTGTCATTGAAATTTTCATAACAATATATAGTTTAGGATATATCAATACGAATAAATGTTTGCCATTTGGTATTTTTATATCTGTATTATATATTTTTCTTCCTGGGAAATTAGACAAGAAATTATTGGTATTATAATAAATATTTTAATATGATATTGATTTAAGCAGTTTCTTTTCAATTCGCTTAATGCAAAAAAGTGGTCTGGTTTATATTGTATATAGTATGTAGGTATGATTTACTGGCGATATATCTCCACTTTTAAATGTATGAATACAGTGGCGGATACAGAGGGCGCCAATGGCGCCAAGGCCCCCCCCCCTAAGATCTCTAAATTGGTTTAAATATTAGGCTTTTGGGTTAAAAATGGCTCTCTAAAAAGCATGTTCTACATTACTTTTCATTTGGGCCACCCCTAAAATAAATCTCGGGCCTCGTCTAAAATAAATTTCTGTATCCGCCCCTGTATGAATATAAAAGTAGTATTTGATCGCTTTCTTAATAGTTCTTAATTCAATGGTACAATATTTTTTGTACAAAAATACAGAAATTATTAATAAAAATAAGATTATTTACACCAATTTACCTAAATCCGGCCCATGCAAAAGCACCCAATCCTACAGCCAACGTAAGACAAAATACTGTTCCAATCTTGTCCGACCAGAAAGCAGCGCCCATCATAAACACAGTTTGAGCTATAAAACCGCTACAGTTAAAGATTTTCCTCACTTGGGTGGTAGTGAGGATACCTTTGACTCTGAACCAATCTGCCCAGTGGCCGGAAAACTGCATCATTATAGCCATAACAAGATAAGGCAAGCCAGATAGGAAACCTGATTTTTTCAGATCGTAATCATGAATATCTGGAAGATAACAAAGAAAAACTTAATAAAAACGAGCGTTTTAAATTTAAAAACGACGTCAAGATAGCCATTGATGATATATGTCCGGTTTATTTCTAGATGTCATTTATTAAAAATTGCCATAAATATTATTAAAAATCTTAGAGAAACTCATTGCATATGGATTTGAAAATTACATCAACGTCAACAGACCCTAGAAAACAAAAATTAGAAACATCAGAAATCAACAGTAGCGGATAGCTTCATATGGCCATACACTTTCTACCAAAGATTTATTTGAACAAATATATTTTTGGTGTACGCTGACAATTTTCCATCGTGAATTATTCTGATAAGGAATATAATAATTTCTAACTAATTATAATTTTCAAAAAAACTAACAACAGAAACTGGTACAAAATATAATATGTTACCCAAAGAAATGACACTATTAATTTATAAAAATTTTAAGGAAAAATTTAGAAACTGAAATAAATGTAGACGACATTGACTAACTAATAAAAAAAGAACGATTCCTTCCATATCATTGTGCTACAGGAAAAGTCTTAAAAGTCTTCAAACTGTTGCAAACGATGAAGGATGTAACCGATAATTGCGATGAAGAAAAAGTTGTATATTTAATATCAATTAAACTTTTAGTTACATAATCGAGGGCGCGATTTTTAAATTCATTGTTGCCAACCATGGACATATTCGTTGCCGGGCTGACTAACTGGAATTTAAATTTCCCGATAAGAATTCAGGTGGTAACTCTGCTGTAAAAATGTCAAGGTGCCATATTTATTTATTTATTTCCTGACGATGATTGTCATTGGTTTTGAAACTTTAGTTTTGTATTACGAATTTTTGGTTTTAATAAATAGTATTGTAATACTTTAAGCTTAAAAATGGTTACTAGCAGACCTTGCAGTCGAACATTGTTCTTTTTAGAACATCTTTTAGTGCGAAGTGTACAAGATAGCTTAATAGCCGTAAAAAACTCATCACAACTTTACGAGAATATTTTCAACGAAAAAGCGGTAGTAATGGCCCTTTATGTCCCTTAAGTGCTGTTAAGAAGGTGAGTTTTTTTTATGTAAATTATAACTCTTTATACATTTATAATTAATTTACTTTTTTTCCTAAAATATTTTGATTAAAAGAAAATATTATAAGTTAATAATATAAGTTTATTTGATATGATCTTTATAGAGTTTACTAAACAAACTAAAACAAGGAGTAAAAAAATATTCTAATGAAAAAGAAAATAATAAGAAATTTCTACGTACGCACCATTAAATTGGCATACAAGTATTCTTAGGCAAACCTTTATTTTTGAAGATTTTGATTTTTGAACACATTCTTACACTTATACTTTTTTTGAGAACTGATGATTGATGAAAAATCGGCCGTTTTTTTTTATCATACGGTATATGTTTACCGTCCGCCCAACGACAGAAGTCGCGACAAAGACAGTTATCGACTGTCAGTTTAAATCAAAATCAAATTGATTTAAGAGTTGCAGTTAGGATTGGAACCAAAGACAAAAAAAAGTTGGAACCGTTAAATGTTGGAACCCTTTGGTGTTACAACAGCAAAATATACCTAACGTTAATTCACCACCATACACCAAACTGAAATTTACCTTTTAAATATTTGGGCAATTGAGTTAATAAAGTGTAAAATCCCCAGTTTTCACTAAAATGTGAAATGACGATGGCCCAAACAGCTCCCGAACTTAAAATAGCCTTCCAAGGAATTGACAATTCTTTGTTGCCTCTATTAGTCTCTTTTAAGGACGTCTCGATATATTGCAGTTCCGCCAAACTGATTTTCTTGTCTTCTTCTGGGGAATTTGCAACTATGGCCACCCAAAGACCACACCATATCAAACCCAACATACCTAAAATTCATCTGAATTAAATAAATTTACACTTTTAGATTAACTATACAGGGTGAGTCTTAAATAAGTGCAAATATTTTCAGGGGTAGTACATTTCGACGTCAGAAACACCATTAGGTATTAGTTTTTTTTTCCAAAATTTTGAAAATTTGGAATTTTTTTTTAGTATTTAGTTAAAAAACATAATTTGTTGATAATATGGCAACATAGGTAGTAGATTAAATATACAAGAAAGAAAATCCAGAAAAAAAGCCAGTGGTTCCCAATTTTTGCAAAAAATCTTTTTTTTTATTTTCAAAGTAAAATAACTCGTTTATTTTGGATTTATTTGAAAAACGGTAAAGAGAAAATATGTTTCTTTATTGAGTTCTACCAGTCCTGTGTGTGTGTGAAAATATTTGCGCTTATTTAAGACTCACCCTGTAGAACAGATAAAGCATACTTGATTTAAAATGTCCGCAAGATATACATAAGAAACATGTTTATAGGAGTACTACACTACTGATTCAAATATGATCATATTTTGATGATAAAATGGTGTATTGAAAATTGTTGGTGGGAAATTTATTTCGCTCTTAAAAATTAACCAAGGCATGATCCAAAAAACAAAATACTCAGGAGTCATGGTTCTAGCCGAAAAGTAATGTTTTAGAAAAATTTACTCAGGAAGTTATTTCACAGGGTGTTTTAAATTCAAGGTAAAAAACAACCCATTCATTAACCCTGTATAATAAGCCAAATACTAAAGTTTATAAAAAACGGAGTTAATAAATTTAAGTATATATACAGGGTTGTTCACCACATACGACACGGAGTATTGTAGCTAAACGATTAGATTTTTACAAATTCTAAGTTTTGGGTTCGTTGACGGACTATTAGAGCTACAATTTAAAAATATTTTTGCAAGATACAGAGTGTTCCAAATAAGTAAAAAATATTATAGTTGTATTTTTTTAAATAGATAACCCTGTATACTATTTTCGTTGAGCGGACAGTAATGCATCTGATTCACGTAAAATATAGAGGGTGTTCCATTTAAATTAAACAAGTTATTGCCGTTTAAAGCTAGTAATTATTTAATATAAATATTTGGACGCTCTGTATAAGGCAGTAAAATTTTTATTATTGCAACACAATATCTGATCAATAAATAATCTTCAGTAAATATTTAGTATTAAAAACTTTGATACCCTTGGAGAAATGAAGCCTTAAATTTTTTACTGCAATTTCATAAAATTGAAAATATTTCAAAAACGGTAAGGTTTAAGTATGATAAACCTTAATCAAATTTACCTTTATTTCCATCGTAGAATCCAAAAATAGAATAATATACAGGGTGTTCCATTTAAAAAAATAAAACTATAATATTTTTTACTTATTTGGGACACTCTGTACTCTGTATACTGTAAAAATATTTTTAAATTGTAGCTCTAATAGTCCTTCAACGAACCCAAAACTTATAATTTGTAAAAATCTAATCGTTTAGCTACAATACTCCGTGTCATGTGGTGAACAACCCTGTATATTTATACATATTTTCTTAAAAATATCATGCAAATGGGGCCAAAAATAAAAAAATATAACATTTTCAAAAAAATTTTCATTGCGTTTTTTTACATCTGAGTCGCAGATTAATTTTGTTTTATTTGAATCTGTGTCTGAGTGTATTAAATTTAAGACGATGTATTCCCCAAGTATAGCTTACCAAATACGTAAAAAATACTTTGCCACCCAAACTGGTTGGCTAAATAAGCACAAGCTGGCATGGAAACAACCGTTCCCACATAACTTCCGGAAAATGCTATTGTAGCCAATCGACTTCTTTCTAAAGGTGGGGCCCATTTAGACCATACGGCATGTATACATGGATAAGTTACACCCTATTGAAAAAATAGTGTAAGTATATTTTCTTCAAAGGATGTATCATTTTAGCATATATACCTCAAAAATTCCTTCGATTATTCTTACAGCTAACAAAAGGTACACACTGGCAGACGCAAGCCATGGAGTTATCACAGTTAGTGCTGATGTGACAGCTATTCCCGAACCGAATATCATTTTGCCTCCAAATTTTGTAGCGAAATAACCGCCCAACAGTTGTGTAGTAATATAACCGTAGAAAAAGGAGCTGAGGATGTATCCCTGCATCTCGTTGCTCCAGTCGAATTCAGGACCCTGTAATGTAATATTCTTTGGGTAATTAAAGAGAGATAATAAGAGTTTTTTTTAAATAAAATATATACCTACAGTATGTCCAAGGATTGTTTTTACAAGAAACACTTTTTTATTATGGACATTTCGAGAAAAGCGCATTCTTTATAAAAAATGTTGTTTGTTCTAAAATGGTTAATTCCGTTTATACTTAACCATATTTCTACATCGTTTGAGAGGAAATTACGAAAAAAACATAAAAATCTGGTTGATTTTTTTCAGTCGTAAAAATCAGAAGGCGTTTCTATGGTAATATAATTTCGATTTCATTCTTTGATAGATTGCTTTTGTTAAAGTATCGCATTTTCCAATAACTATTATCATCCTTTCCATAGCATTGAACTAAATAAATTTTTTTAACATTTTAAGACAGCAAGAAAAAAGACGTTAATTAAAATTCTATCAAAAACAATCTATCAAAGGAGGAAAACAAAATTATGTTACCATAAAAACGAGTTTTGATTTTTAGGACTTTACGATATTTTCATGTTTTTTTTTTAGTTTTTTCTAACACGGCATGGAAATATGGAAAAGTATAAACGGAATTAACCATTTTAGAACAGGCAAATATTTTTATGACGAATGCATTTTTCTCAAAATGTCAAAAATAAAAAAGTTCTTCCTCTTGTAAAGACAATCCGGGGACATACTGTAGATTTCTAATTTAAATAACAAATATACTTTTCTAATATAAGCTTCCATTTTAGTCTATTTTATTCGGCAAAAAAATAAAGATACAATTTTAGGAAAATATTTACACAATTTTAGAAAGTGCAAAATCAAACAAGTACCGGGTGTCCCACTAAGAATTGCTCTCGGCTATATCTCGGAAAGTATTAGCTATAATCAAGGGTATTAGCTGTGGTATTATAGTATTAGCCGTAAAGTCTACGGAAAAAAATATTTATAATTAAAGAGACCATCAGAAATTGCTGGAAATTATTTTAAACTTTGTAGAATGGCCGCTAGAGAGCGCAACGGCTATGGCAAATAAAGAAATGGAATTTTTACAAAATTCTGCCCAGATAAGATACCTACCATAAATTTTCATTTTCATTCCAATTTTCCGAGCAATTTTCGGATTTTTTTAGTTGGAACAATTTTGCCCTCTTATATGCTAAAATGAATTGGCGGGAAAATTAGTTAGATCTGTTTTTATTTAAATATTAAACTGGGGCTCGTTTAAAAGAGTATTCCTTACTCTATATGATACAATATAACAAATAATAATAAACATTTAACAGTAGACACTAGGAAGGCGGTATCTTACAATTTAACAAACCGTTGCGTGTTTTTTTTCAAAAAAATTAAATGGAATAGTATATAAGTATGTAATTTTAGTTGGTAGTAAAAAATTGCTCGTTATCTTATGTAATGTATGAAGTTGGATGGATTGAGGTCCCATATTGAAGCTACGTTTATAAATACTATCGAGACTGGTGCTCTCGTACTACAGGCGTACGAGAACAGGCGCGACAAGAGTAGAAAGTAGACTGGCTGTTTAAGGAATAGGCTGTGGTGTCGTTAGTCACCGTGGAAACTCACCAAAGAAATTTTCGTACCATTTTCTAATGTTTCGTATCTATCTTGTGTCATCGCCACAATTGCTATACTTAAATTAACTCTAAGAGAGTAGACGTTAAAAAATCCGAAAAAAGCTAATGTTGCGACTACGTATCTTCTCTTCTTCCAAAACTTCCATGATGGATGATCTTCCTCTGTACCTTCATCTTGTTGCCTGTAAACACGATAATAATTATATAAAACAAGCGCTTTTAATTATAACCTTCTTAATACATAATAAACAATATATATCTTTATAGATAGGAGAGCTTATGCAGTCTTAAATAAGTGGAAATATTTTTTTTAGGTAGTATATTTCGACTAGGGCTTTCGGAACCGGGAATTTCGGTACCGCACCTATAGGAACCGAGATTTTCCACTTTTTTCGGTACTTTCGGTACTGACTAATTTTTGTTCAATGGTGGTGCAGTTCATCAATCAGAAAGCAAGGGATGGGTTTTCAAAGTAAAATGGATGATAAATTGAGATATTTAATGATAATAATATCAAATTATTAAGTAATCATGCAGTCATGAAAAAACTAACATGAACGCAAGTAAGGAAAAATGTATAGGTAACTTAAATTTCACATCAAACAACATAAACCAACTTAACTGAATTTGACAAAAGTCCAAACATAACATCTACATATATAAAATGCTAATGTTTATCTGTGTGTCGTCTCTACTAAAGTAACGACTTGCTTTAGAAAGTTGCTTTTTTACTAAAAGATAGCTAATTGCTTCTAAAAACTGCCGTCGCCGGATTTTTTGTTTTTCATTTAAGTAATTAAAAAAAAATAAAAAGTATTTTTTTTCCTGATGTCGTGGCGGATGCGCCAGCCTTCGGAATTTGATTAGACGATCAAATCTATTTTTCCAAGGCTCCTTGATTAAAAGTTAGTGTTTTTAACACAGCCATGGCACTCTAGGTTGAAATTTAAAATTCAATTTTGTTTTAAGCAAAAATGTCAATAGTTGACATAATATGATATGTTATTCCATTTAGAATGTCATTTTCTATCGAATAAAGTAAAAAATATCGTGGGTGTCATTTAAAAATCAAAAGTTGTAGTCATTTCCGGCTAAACCGGAAGTGACAGAAAACAATTGAATACGTCAACCAATCCTAATTTATGTCATATACTAATATACCAAACCTCATTATTTTATCTGAAAAAGTAAAAAAGTTATAGCACCCGGTATAATATGTAAAAAGTTTAACAAAAATTTTATTATTCATTAAATTAAAATTGTTTCATTGTTTGGTTTCTCCTTCTTATTCAAAGGGTTTCTCATATATGTATTTAGGTATAGGTACTTCGACTAGTTTTTTGTCAGATATATGGCAGTTTATCACCTAGTAGCGGAACTGCCGTATCATCGAAAAAAAACAGCGTCCAGTTGGCTAGGAAATGACGATCGATGACATTCCCCATATAATTTACATTTGATCTACATATAAAATAACAGCGATCCCCATTTCATAGCCATCGCTGACGCCGTTTTTTTTTCGATCATATTTTATATTATCATGATAAATCAATAATTTAATATCTTGGATTTAAGGAAGAATTCAGTCAACTTTTATTGCGGGTCTCAATAATAATAAATATTTAGAAAAATCATTATATTTTCAATATTTATCGCAAATGTTAGATATTTATTTATATATTAAATTAAAGATTATCTTAATTTAATTAATTATTTATGTGTGTTCATATAAGCAAAAAAAATAAAATATATTTTATTATTTATTTATCAATTTTCGCTCACCCATTTATATCATTAATTCCATATGATTTGGGACACTTTTTGTGATCTGAAAGTACCATTTTGCTAAACAATTTTCAGAAAAACGTTTTATTGTTAAATGGTAACGATTTAAAATGTTGGTACTGCACTATCCATTGATTGAATAAACTAATAAAAATGTTTGGCATTCAACTGTCCAATATAATCGAAGGTGTGGAACATTCGGTAACATTGATTTGATAATTCTGTTCTCTTCCTTGTATTGATACCAGATTGCCAATGGTACTATCGCTTTGGGTGGGAGAACTTACTTTCTATTCTTTTGATTCAAGGGTACTTAAATTTCCCTTGTATTGAAGAAATTTTTCAAATACTTTAAATACTTCCTAGTCACAATTTAAAAAGAAATAAATGATAAGCAGCTCGTCCAGTTTTATTTTTTCCTATAAATACTAAAATTTTAAATTTAGTTTAAAAGCAGGGAAAATAAAATATATTCTGCTGCCCTCTATATATTCAAACAGAAACCTAACTATAGAGGTTTTCGTTATTCTTTGTTAGACAGCGCTGAATCAAATATTATGATTCATGAATTTTGACAAGTTCATTCATGTCAACAGAAATGTCAGCAATTCTGATAAATAATAATGCAGTTTTTAGTTTTCAATTTGTGTTTAATTGTTAAAAACATTTATGTTTGTAATTTATAGTTTGTTTTATGCGTTGAAGCCATGGCTTATGTTAATGTGAAAGATTGGCCGGTAGACCAAGTTATGTACTGGTTGAAAGGTAACCTTTAAAAAGTTTTGTTAATTTTATTTATTAACGCTCAAAAAAATGTTGTAGGCCTGGATAATGTAATTTTTCAGTACCAAGCCTCATTTTTGAATAATGGTGTTACCGGGCAACATTTATTAAATCTACGTGCAGAAGATTTGGAGAACCTGGGAGTAAAAAAGTTAGGTCATCAAGAGATTATTTTAGAAGCCGTGGAGCATCTCAGAAATATTGTATGTGTTCCACATATTTCTAAATTAAAGCTAATTAGTCCTTTTTAGCATTATGAACTTAACACAGAGAATTTGCAAATGCTTGCTTTGAAGCTTTCATGTGCAGCTAATTCGTTATACAAAGAACTTTTATTAGTAGATGAAAGGAGTGATTCTGTGAAAACTCAAGTTATGTCAGATGTTCATAATATAGTGGCTGCAATAAAACCTTTAGTCTTATGGCTTGATAGGTATTTAATAAGTTGTTGTTTTAATATTTATTTTCATCTTTTTGATTTAATTTTAGATCACCTTTTACGGGTGACAAAGACTATTTAGACAACAAAAAGGAATTATTGCAATTAAGCTTTGAGATGGCCTATGTTGCACATAGGGGAAAATTCTCAGAGAATCCCGTATTAGATATTAAAAAAAGTTGTGAAAAACTTGCAAAAATAGCTGATCATATTATACAAGTAATTTATATTTATACAACTAGAATCCAGCTTTATATTTTGAATTTTAGGATATATGCGACCCAATGATATTACAGCCTGCATCTTTAGATTTAGCAACGTTGAAAAAGAAGGAGCAAGATCTTGGCTTTTATATTATGCCTAATTATCATCCCATACATCAAATTGTTGATATTAAATTTGGTTCTCCGGCTCATGGTAGTACAAAAATTGAAGAAGGTAAGTTTTCTTTGTAGTCTGTTTGATCTGAATATAATAGTTGTCTTTTTAGGTGATGAAATAGTACAGGTTAATTATCAAACAGTCGTTGGATGGCAGGCTAAAAAAGTTATGCATCTGTTACAAGAACAGTCGCCAGAAATTGTATTGACATTAAAAAAGAGACCTCGGCATTCAAAAGTTTATGGTCAAATCTATATGAAACCGTATAGATTACCCAGTAGAAAGAGAGGCACCGAAAACTGGTCAAAATGGAATGATAATTTACCCTCCCCAAGGTTATTGCCAATTATTGACTTGCCACCTATTACAGTAACAAAGTAAGTACCTTAATTAAAATTATTAAAAAAATTGTTAGTATGGATTCTAATAACGGAAGAATTTATTTTAAGACTTATCTAAACTCATCGTTTAACAGGATTGTTTGAATGAGATGTTTGTTTTACACTTCTTATATATAAATTAATACACCCTGTATAAATGTGCCAAATAGTGCCAAAACATTTTCAAATTCAGTTTCTTTTTATAAAGTAAATGCTGATTTTTAATTTTTTGATTGTTTCCCTATAACTTTTTTTCTTAATTTCATAATGTCATATTACTAGGTTAATTGAAGAGGTGGCTGCAGTAACCAGACAGCTCCATTTTAACCAATTTTGCTAGCCAAAGTAGGCAGCTCGATTCTTACTATAACCAAAAGCAACAAAAAATTCTAAAAAGATTTTTTTACCTGGAATAATAAATTATAATACAAGTTAGATCTTCTGAAGATATCAAAATATTTACTTCTTTATTTTTATTTTTAGAATTTTCACAAACTATACTTTCTAACACTTTTAGAATAATTATATAATAAATTTTTTGTATACTTGCTATTTAAACCCGTGTATTTGTATACACTAGTTGTTTACGATATTCTGCTATGGTGGAAATACAGGCGGAGAATGCACCAACCTAATAGTAAATAAATCGTAAATAAATTCACAGTTATTTGATTATTTCCAGTTAATAATTTGGACACACAGAATAATGTGAAAACTGTAGTACTCATGTAGTCTAGGTGACAAAATCCCCTCAATAAAAAGTCATCTAAAAAAATAATAAGAATATATGAAAAATATCCTTTTACTTTGCCAAATTTGTAATTTACTTATTTGTTATAGATCTGAAGAGGAAATCAGTAATGTTGAAGCTGAATTAAGCAGTAGTGATAGTGAACCTCCAGATAGTCCGCTGGAGGGTACTTTTCGCATGTATCCTATTAAACCTAGACCTATTTTGCAAAGGAGGAATACAATTACAGGAACGACACCTACCAACAAGAGACCAAACACATCAATTGAACAGGTAAGTCTGAATTGTGTAAATGCATTTAATAAATAATCATTGAGTAATAATTTTATTTCTATCAATGGCTACATTGTTAGAAAATGTTTTATTCTTAATATTATTAAGGCGCGTTTACATCTGAGCAGAACAGACTGAGCCTACACGAATGTTTTTTTTTAATAATGAGCCGGAACACTGTGACCTGTGAGGCCTACTGAGTTTGTCCCCTTTCTATGTGTGCGCCCATTCTCCTCCCTATACCCTGCACTAACTTGTGCATGTCCTTGATAAGATGGTAGCTTTGAATAAAAAAGATACAGGAAGGAGCATATCAAAAATCTTAGATAGAACGGGACGGGATTCTAAAATGGCTGACTTAAATTTCAGTTTATCAGGACTGTCCTAATCTTATTCAAAACCTGTAAAAATATGATGTAGGGTAGATTCAATAATTTGTTGTTTTATTTTACGTTGTCAATAAATGTTGGTAGTTATTAAAATTGCTATAAAAATATATGTTTCTAATAAAAATAGATAAGTGATAATAATTATTTATTAACACAAACATCTGATACGCTATTGAAGCTGGTAAGTCAAATTGATGTATCTAAATTCTTTAACATCTAATCTTTTACGAATAGTAAATAAAAGCAAAAATGCAAGAAAAAATATAAAATATATAATTGGTTAATTTTAAGTGAATTTCATAAATGATCGGTGTACTACACGTATGTACATATATTATACAGGGTGGTCCGAAATGTATTCCGGAAACTTCGGCAGCATATTGCAGATAAAAATAAGAAAAAAAATTCGTATAAATATATGTCCTAAAATGCTTTGTTTCGGAGATACAGGGTGTAGAAGTTTCATTTTTATTTCGATTTTTTTCCAAATAATTTCTGAAGTAACGTTAATATTTAGATGAAATTTGGTGTCTAGGAGATTTTTGACATGAGAAATTTGAATTTGATGTCAATATGACTCCTATTCCTAGGGGGCGCCACCTACATGTGTTTTAACTGTTTTAAAGAGTAATAACACAAACTAAATTAGACAGGTACGAGACCTTATGGGATTTTTTGTATTCAAAAAAGGCTATGTTCGGTGGTATGCACCTAGACGCGTTGACGTCGGATCGGGGGCACCGGGCAAAATCCTATTAGACCAAACAAATTGTGGACGATGACGTCAAATCGTCCCCGCAGTCCCCGCGGTCGCCGCGCGACTCTTCGAGCTTGAGCATTTCTTTCACGCCTTTGATACGCCGCACAGTGAACCGAGTATATGGCAGCAGTTGGACATTTCCTTTTAATCTCATAGGTATTTTTATAAATACTTTCTTAAGAATTATTCTATTCAATTAAAAGTATTAAATATACTAGAAGTATGAAATTAAAGTTTATAAAAAAACTATAATAATTTGTTTTATAGATTTTCTGGATTCTGAAGGATTTTATTGAAGATGACCTTTTGATATCTTAAGGCACAGAATATCTAGCTACGCAACAGAAAAATACTCGAAATGAAAGAGCTAAAATTGCACAAATAAAATACTAGATGGCGCGACAATATCATAATCAGAATATAATTGGAAATTTTCAACTTTCGGTTTTGGATCGACGTAGATCGACGGCACGTCGACGGCCTTGAAGCTCGGCAAAATATGCACAGTTGCCAGATTCAAACAGATTTTAATTGGCATCCCATTCTTTTTCTGGTGTATAATAATTTCTTTCTATTCTTCGTTTCTTGTCAGATACACTTATATTAATTATTCGTTTGGCTTTTAAAATTAGAATAAATTAGTAATAAAAATAAAAAAATAAATTAGAAAACATATGCTCTCAAAATACATTTTTAATATACATTACTTATTATGTTAACTAAGAAAATAACTTTAATTACCTTTAAAATTAATAATATACAGGGCGATTGATAGTGATATTTATTAATGCTGAAACGTTAGTAATGAAATATACGTTTAATAATAATGGAAATGATTTATTAAAATGCAGTACCAAAAATGTTAATTGACTAAAAAAATACTATAATAACAAATTTTTTCTGTTTGCCATGTTATTTATATAGACCTAGGTAGATTTTAAAAAGTGACACAGGTACAATTAATAATATATTAGTTCGGCATAAAAGTTGCTGTCACGACATCGTACAATAAATTAAAATTCGTAAAATAAATTAAAATTATTAATTAAACAAATCTTTATAATGAAACACAAGTATATCAAATTTGGGCCCAATCGAACGCCAGGAAATGGTATCGTAAAATGGTACTACATTATGGTACCCTTTGATATGCTTCATGGTACCATAATATTGTAATGTCATCAAAAATACGCAAGTATAGTCAAATATGAGCCCAATCGAACGTCAGGAAGTGGTATCGTAATATGGTACTATATTAAGGTACCACTTTATATGCATCATGGTACCATCATATTAAAATGTCACCGAAGATACTTACTATACCAAGTATAAGTCCAATCGTACGCCAGGAAATGAAATCGTATATGGTACTATTATGGTACCTCTTGATATGCTTCATGGTACCATAATATTACAATATCACTGAAGATACGTAATATAAATATACTAAGTTTAAGCCCAATCGAACGCCATGTATCGTAATATGGTACTATATTACGGTATCACTTGATATGCTTCATGGTACCATAATATTGCAATGTCATGAAAAATACGCAAGTATATATCAAATACCGTCAATGATACCGAAAAAACGGCGTCCAGTTGGCTGGGAAAAGACGATCGATGATATTTCCCATATAAATTTACACATAAAATGACAGTGATTTTCATTTCATAGCCATCGCTAACGCCGTTTTTTCCCGATCATACGGTATGAACACAATCGAACGTCAGGAAGTGGTGTCATAATAGTAGAACAATACTTATTATATATTGTCGCCGAATTACAATCAAAATTTAGGATTCAGGTAGAATCAAACGTCAGGAAGTGATTTTAATTCAGCTCGTAAGATTTAACTCCAACTAACATAGCAAGTTAAATACTTAAACGTTTGAAAAAAGAGCTCTAATCTATTTTAATATGTTTAAATGATGTAGCAAATTTGAACGTAGGCTTTATCAGGAAGTATTACAATATAAATTACACAATGGCAACACTGCATAAAATTCTTTTAAATTTCTTTTGTAGAAAACTGTTTTCTTTTAAATTTATCGCCCTCTGTTATGTAGTAGTGAAACTACCGCATCAAAATATCTGATTTGGAGACAGGCTTTAAAAGTCTGTCTCCTTTTGAGACCTACGATTTTTTACATGTAACGAGGCTTCTGTTGCGTAGCTAGATATTCTGTGCTTAAGGGTTGCAACCTGAGGTAGCAATTTTTGCTGAATTTATTAAATGGGAATGTTCTTTATTACCTGCAATGGTTTTCTTTTCGCCAGAGTTTTGATAAATTATAACAGTTATTAGAAATCATTAGTTTATGTTTAAAAATATAATTTTTAAATTATTTTCTGGTTATTTTCTTTGAGGGGTGCAGACTGGGGCAGCATTTTATTATGCATTTAATATGTGAATATGTTTGTCTGTTAAGGGCAGATAAAGTTTGTTTGGATTTTTTTGTAAAATAGTTTAAAAAAGCAAATTAATCATCCACAATGCTACTTTAATCATGGAGTTAAATTTAATTTCAAAATACCTATACTTAAAAATTAAGTAAATATTAATACTAAACCATGATTCTTATTTTCACATAAATCATTATTCTTATTTTCACATAAATCATTATTCTTATTTTCACATTATTTAGACAAATGTCCAAAGGTTAACACAGGCTTGTTTCACTGTAGGTGCCGCCCTCTACAAGTAGGAGTCATATTGACATCAAAATCAAATTTCTCATTTCAAAAAACTGCCATATACCGATTTTCATCCAAATATCGAGGGTAGTTCCGAAATTATTTGAAAAAATCGAAATAAAAATGAAACTTACATTCTTATCTCCCAAACTAAGAATTTGAAATCAATTTCAAATGTGTCAAATGTATCATCAAACAGAACTGTCAAAGATCCCCACCCTAGGGCCCTCTCTCCGTCTACCATGCATGAATATATGTCTCCAAAAAAAATCCTTTATAGGTATTTCGCCACTGCACTGCAAGAAAATCTACAAAACAAAATAGTTATTTTTTGTAAACACTTCTGCGTTAAACCTAAACGGACACTGCTTGTCAGAAGTTATGTTTACAGTTATACAAATTTGCCTAGCAAAGAAAAAATGCTTAACGTTTGCAAATTTGTATAACTGTAAACATAACTTCTGACAAGCAGTGTCCGTTTAGGTTTATCGCAGAAGTATTTACAAAAAATAACTATTTTATTTTGTAGATTTTCTTGCAGTGCAGCAGTGGCGAAATACCCATAAAGGACTTTTTTGGAGAGATGAATCCGCCACATAGGTATAGACATTTTTTATGAATACATGGATAGCATTATACTCCTTCCTTAATCTTTATTCAAAGGATAAAAGCATTGTTTCTCCTGTTCTAACCTTGCTTCCCCAAATAAAAAGTGTCTCTTACGATCAAGAGCCTCGCAGTTACATATTATGTCCTCCGCTGTTTCAGGATCTTTATCGCAGAGTCTGCAGCAAAGACTTCCTTGATAATAGGTTGAGCTTATTCAGTTAGCATTTCACGTGTCAAGAATTTTGTCAAAAATTAACACTAATTATCGAAAGATTAAAAAAGGATAGAACATTTCTAAACACAATAAATTTATTTAAAAAAATATTTTTTGTCGAATTTTAAACTACACCATTTAAAACTCATTTTTACTCAATACAAAAATAAGTTACCATCTTCTAAGGCCAGGCAGTAAGCGCCATTAAAAATGACGTCTAGGGCTTGACCTTGCCAAAATTATTATCGATTGTCATTCCCCAGCCGTCTTTGACGCTGTTTTTTTATTGTATGATATTTGTTCAGTGTGGATGTTGCTTAGTGAATAGACATTTAATAGCTGTACTATTTTTAGCGGTGCAAATATTCAAAACGCTATAATTACAATAAATTGCAATAAGCTAAAAATGATGTCAGATAATTTCAAATAAAATTTTGCCGACAATAAATACATATTAATATTGCAATAAGCGGGAGGCAATAATGGTGTTTAACAAGAAAAAATTCGCACTCGACCGTATTTAACAATGATAAGGGAATTATGTTGAATTGTTTATCTAAAGAATATTTGTCGCCCAGTAAATTGTAAGTATCCCTCGCATCCTGTGCCGATAAGACCGTCTGACTGGGCTCCCGTTTCGATGTTTAGAACAAAACTGGTCGTAAAATCCGGCGATTTATTCCCGGTTTTCGTATTTTGAGTCATTATCGGCCCGTGTAACAATGTTTAGTGTCTGAATTGAAACGTCCTTGAAAGTAGAAGTTCGGTTTACTCTCTCCCGTTTCACTTCTACGCGTAAGTTATTTGTTTATTTTCGTTTATATTATGCAGTCATTTATTCATTACATTTTAATTCTGTTACTGAATATGTTTTATACATTTACTGTAAAAAAAAATAATTACCAACTTTCTTGTTTTGATTTATTGTATTTAGATGCATGTAGAGATTAAGATACTTAATAGATGTTTAAATAGAGATTACAGCTATTACATACAAAGTTATTTTATTATGCATTTTATTATATATTTGAATAGATTTTTTCATCTCTTTGTTTATATTTTTTTATCATATTTTATTTGTATTTTTATCTATCTATTATTTTCAATTAAAATTAAAATTGAATATAATAGAAAATACGCACTAAGCGATGGCTATGAAATGAAGATCGCTGTCATTTTATTTGTAAAATTATATGGGGAATGTCATCGATCGTCATTCCCAAGCCGACTGGACGCTGTTTTTTTTTCGATCATACGGTATATTTGTTATTTTAGGCTTATGGCGTTCATCTATCTATCTTAGCTTGTTTATACAGGGCGAGTTTTTAGAAAAGCAAATATTTTATGATTCCAACCCCAGAAACACGTCTATGACTTTTTTTGTGAAAAAAATGTTAAATTTTTAAATTGTCAGTTAAAAATATAACATCTTGCTAATATCGCAACATAAGTTGTTTAAATTTAGAGAAACGAAAATAAAAAACAAAAAAATGTAAATTTATGTTTAAGAAAAAATTATTTCTTTTTTAAAATTTTCAAAGTAAAATAACTAGGTTATTTTGGACTTATTTCACGTAGAATGTAGAATGTTTGGGAAGGGGGTTAATCATCACGACCTTACACCTTATTGTGTGTCTCCCTCTCTTGAGATATAACGAGTCATACAGTCTCAGGTCTCAGGGTTTTGACCAAAGCCAGTATCTGAGACAGCTGAGGTGTTGTGTTTTCCCATTTTTCCCACAGAATCTGCATTCGCCGTTGTTTTTTAGCTTAAATCTACTGAGGTGTTCATTTTTTCCTAATTATACAAAGTACACTTGACTATAAAACTAATTGGCAACAAATTAATATTTGCAAATCTTTGGGAAGATTGCCACCGAAACAAAAAAAAACATTCTAAATCAAATAATTCATATTATTTAAAAAACGGCTATTTTAGAATCTACTGGTTCAATTCTCAGTAGTATTTTACTTGTATAGGGTGCTCCAATAGTAGAGGATGAACTGAGGTAGAACTGTTTTTCATTTTTCTAAAATTTTAAAGATTGAATGCAATAAGAGATAAAAATAACTACAATTTTGCAATTGTTACTTTTGTTATGTACAAAATGGCAAGGTTAATTACTCAATCCGATGTTTCGGCTTTAAGTGCCCATCATAAACTTGATTGTAATTATTGTACTAGGAGGCATTGTGGCATATTTTTATTTCTCTGAAATAATGTCCTTTTAATTTAATAAAAGGATTTAGCTATGGTTTAAGGAACTTACGTTATTAATTAATGTTTAAACTTAAATACAATATGACAAGAATATTTTTATGAAGGAAAATGCAGATTACAGAAATTCATCACTGTAAAGAATAATCTTTAAGGTCGCCGCCCAACATTGCTGGACGCGTGGAGCGAAGCTTAGCGTATAATAGTAAAATACGCGTCAAAACGCAATACGCCTCGCCTCTATGTGGTGCCACTTCCATTTACTTCAATACATTTAAACGCTTCGTGCTCCTCTCCGCTCTACGCTACGCTGTACGCCTCATGTGGGGCCACGCACTAAAATAGCAAATATTGTAAACTATGAAAGAATATAAAATAACATTTATATACTCTATTTCAGTACTGGGATTTTTTGCAATCGTGCGCAACCAGCAAGCAATCGTCTAGTTTCTACGACATAGACAAAGCCAGGTTTGAAGAGGAATCACGTATTTTGAGAGATAAAAGTGCATCTTGTAATGTAGGCTTAGATGTCAGTCCAAGGCCAACAACAGTCATAGGTTTATCGCGTAATCGTAGAAAAAAGAGTCTCAAAGAAAGCTTCAAGGGAAAAGATAGAAGTGAAAGAAGTAGCACCAAGAAAAGGGTTAATTTTGATGATGCCAGTGAAGAAATGAAAAATAGGAATGGGTCTTTGGCTAAGATCGATAATAAACTGGATTTACTGGATATCAAAATTCACGATACTAATTTAAATGAGGAAAAAAGCGTTAGCGTCAATAGTTTGTCTAGTGTTCATAACGAAACTATTAGTTTTATTGATGAGGGGCGTGATTTAACTGACCGATCTAGTATGGTTTCGACTTTAGATAAAGAAACGTCTTTAACACAGACAGCTTTTAAAAAATAACATCGAAAACAACAAAGACAATGGCAAATTACAAAATATTGTCGTTAGAGATCCAAGTTTAGCTGAAATTAACGTTCACAATATGATTAAAAAGTTCGACGATCAGAAGAAGATATCTCCACCTAAACCTAGAGTAATGCCTCGAATTCAAGCTAGGAAACCTCCCGAGATACCTACGAAACCTGAAAGTAAGAAACCGTTGGTTCCTCCGAGGAGTTCTACAACTAAATTAAGAGGGAGATTGGACAAGAGCCATAGTACACCTGCCTACGATTTGACAGACGAAGAACCACCACAGCAGGTAGAAAATCCTCACATTAAAATTGAAAAGCTTCCTGACGTTATTCCAAAAATTTCCGAGACAATTCCTGAAAGTTCGCCTTTAGAGAATTCTGATGGGTTTTTTCCGGCCGAAGAAAAATCCAGTTCCGGGTAAAATGAAACTCCTAAAAATTGTTATGATGATCAACATATACGGAACTTCAAGAAACATCAGTTATCGTGGTTTCTCAGGGATCTTTAGAGAGTATAACAGATTCGAATATAGTAAGAGGCAATATTCTTTCGGATGTAGATTTACCACCAAAACCTCCTCCGCGAAAATCTATAGATAGTATAAAGTCAGTCAATTTACCGGAAAGTCCTAAACCAGCACCACCGATACCCCGAACACCCAAAGGTGTCCAGTCGACACCAAAGAAGACTTTTGATTTTCCTGAAACCAACGTCGATATTAAGAAAATGGGCAGCATGCAATCTATTCACTCTACAGATTCGAACGATTACCTGGTTCCGATTCAGGTTAAGCAATCGTTTGATTTGCAGAGAAGTTTTGGCAAGACTTCCTCTACTCCTAAAGGCAGAGGGGAATATGAAGGGGACGCGGGAAGTCCATTAAAGAGTACTCCTTACGATGTACATAGACATGCCGAGAGTAAAGTTTCTCCCACCAATAGTATTGTTAAAGCCATGATATCAAACAAACCAAGGTCAGCGAAGAAAAGAATAATTTAATTGCAAGTGTTATAATTTTATGCTATTACCTAAATATATATTATGAGAATATATTGCTAGTACCGTATTTTACAATAAATGAGGGGAAAGTGAAGTCAAAGAAAAGGAATAGGAATATGAATCTTGCATAAGTCTATCCTTTTAGTTCAACAGGATTTTCGTACGCATGCGCCAAATAAAACGATCTGATTTGTCTACTTCATCGTTAAACGCTGTCACCTGCCCGCGCACTATTTTAAATTCTAAATATTAATAACGTATAACATATAATTTTTTTATTGCAAGATTTATTGCAATTACTTGGTAGATAGAAACTTAGAAAACTACTTCTATTGGTTAGTATGAAATAAATCAACTAATCGCGATTAAGATTGAAAGCTGTTGAACGAAAAGGAAAGCCTTATGTGGATTTTGCATAGCTCCATCTCAAAATTTGAAACTTTACAACATTTGACTTTAATTTCTGTTCTTTACTAGCAATATATTCTTATAATATATTTGCTATTACTCAGTTAATAACACATCTATTATGTCAATCCTTGTTATTAAATATCATTTTTTTAATCAGAGCGGAGGAGAGTGACAGTAAATGATCTGTCTCCTCCCGACAACCAGGGATACCTATACCAGAGGCTTCGTGGCAAGCACAACCAGAACGTGCATTGGGAGAAAAGGTGGTTTGTGTTATTAGGAAGTTAATTGTATGGTTACAAAAAATAAAGATTAAAAAAAAAAAATTATCTTTATTTTTCTCTGACTGATTTTACGGTTTCATTGGCTAATGAAGTAAGTAATCTCGATAGTATTATAATTTTGAGACATTAATGTATTTGTAATAAATAAAAATTAAATAAACAAATAAATGATAATTGTTTGCAAGTTGAAGCTTGTGGTTCTTTGATATCATAATATTAAAATGTCTTCTCATAAATAAGTGCCTAAAACATTTTTAATATTTCTCCTGTCAAAAACTTCTCTAACTCATACAGGACAGACTATAGTGCGTATTACATAAGTTTTTCTGTTTTTCGGTTTCCTTAAAATGTGATTGAGTAATACAGGGTCAACCAAAATTACAACATACATGTCAATCTCAATTTATACAAAGATGTTATCATAGGAGAGGATATCATATTTTATATTATTAGACTGTTATAAATTCATAAAGTCCATAAACTAATGTCGACTTTGATAATAGCTATACTAATTGTCACTAGCAAATTGCCATGGCAACACCAGCTTGATTGTCATTTTATTGAAAAATCGCTTTTTATCCAAAATCTGAGCCAGATCGGTATAGAAACCCTAATATAGTTTGAAAGGGCATTTGAATCTGCTTGACTTATTTTAAAAATACATAGTGTTGTATTTGAAATAACGAAATTTTTAGTGTAAAATAAATATTTAAAATAAACAAGCAATTTTTGATACCCCTGTATACTTAAGGAAATATTTTTTTAGTAAGTTTATTTTGGCTTCAAAGTCAGCACAAGAATTAGCTCTGAAAAGTAATGTACAGGGTGTTGACAAACTTTATATTATAGCATGCATATTTAAATATCATTAAATATATCATAAACCTAAGCATTTAAACATATTAAACCCTTACAATAAAATGCCTTATTTTATGCCCAAGAATCCAAAATGAAATAGTAAATACCATGGGTGTTCCATAAGAAAAATATAATTTTTTATAGATCTTAGTTTTGACACCCTGTACTTTGAAAATAATTTGAAATTATGCACATTGCCTCTCTACATATACCAATAAAAATTTTGTTTCTATTCTATCTTTCCTTCGTGATAATCACCCGAGGCGAATGAGGTGCCGCCCTGTATGTTTTTGTTATTGGACATTCTGGATTAATTTTACATAAAATGTTTTTTTTTAGAAATTTAATAATAAGATATTTCCCTCAACATTTCATTTCTCTTGCAACTTTTTTGGTGGTTACTTTATAGAAAATGTGTCTGATGGTGAAATATCATCTTTTAAAAATTTAAATAAATGTTTTCCATTCTAATTTAACAATTATTTCAACTTTAGGTAAAATCCAGATCAAACGCGTTCCGAGTATACCACACCGGTACTGTATTCTATTTTTCTGCTGATGATCCTGACACTCTACAGGTTTGGATTGATATGATTCATACCGCCTGCCTTCATCATGACGCTCACTCTAAAAACCACGACGACAAGTTGTACTCGGAAACTGACGATTCTGATACAGAGAAACCTAAAACAGTCACTCCAGAGAAATCCGATTCGTTAAAAAAATTCGGATCTTTAAAAAAGTTTAGTTTGAAAAAGGCCTCGACCGATACGCCGCACACTGGGAGCACCAGCCTCGATCGAAAATGGTTCTTTAATAAATCCAGTAGTAATACAAAGAACAGTGTTCCAGTTCCCACATCTCAGTTTAGGTCGTACCGGAAAGTAAGAAACGAACCGACGCATGCCAGTGTTCGAACAGGGAATTTTACCTCTCACGTGCCTATTTTTGGTCCTTCAAACTTGCACCAAGCGCAGAACATCAGCGTTCCAAATCTAACTGTGGAACACATTATCAGAACGCCACCTTTAAGCAGATACCGCAACAAAGCAAAAAAGGGTTCAAACTACGTTGCGTGCAAGTATCCACAGCATCTGCACCCGTAAACGATTTCGGCCTCATCTCTTGTCGTTCGGTTAGTAAAAAAGTGCGAAATATCCGGCCAGTTAATCTTGCTGGATATTTTGTTATACATTATAGAGTTGATGAATCGGCAGTCGGAAGAGAGCAGAACCAATCCCCATCGTGAGTTTGAAGAAACTAAAATTGATTTGAGCATGATTAAAGCAGATGTCGTCTATGGTATGTATATGGTTTTCGACTGTTAATTTTAAATTAATACAGAATCGATCGAAATGGCAAAGATATGCCATATTCCATTACGAGACGCGTTATTTTGACAATTTTGACATAATAAACGTGTCGTTAATGCGCTAGTAACGTTATCGCATGCTGCTATTTAGATACAATTCATACCAAATAAACTTTTAGTCACGTGATTAAGCTTGACCCGCGCGGCGCAGCGTTGCCTTCTTCTATAAATTTCCTTTTAATCAAAATATTTTAGGAAACAAAAATAAATTAATTATAAATATATAAACAGTTATTATTTACATCAACAAAACTCACTTTCTTAACAGCGCTTAAGGGACATAGAGGGCCATTACTACCGCTTTCTCGTTCAAAATATTCTACTAAAGTTGCGATGAGTTTTTTACGGCTATTAATCTGTCTTGTACACTTCGCACTAAAAGAGGTTCTAAAAAGAACAATGTTTGACTACAAGGTAGTGCTAGTAAACATTTTCAAGCTTAAAGTATCACAACATTATTTATTTAAACCAAAAACTCGTAACAAAACAAAAGTGTCAAAACGAATGAACAGTGTCAGGAAATAAATAAATAAATGCGGCAACTTGACATTTTTTAGAGCAGAGCTACCACCTGAATCCCCAGCGCGAAATTTAAATTATAGTTAGTCAGCACAGCGCCAAATATGTCCATGGTTGGCGACAATGAATTTAAAAATCGCGCGCTCGATTAGGTAACTAAACGTTTAATTGATATGAAATATACAGACACGCATTTGACATTTCTTTTGATTGTATTTATGTTATGACATTTCAAAAATGTTATATTCAGTTATTGTTACAATTAAGTTCTGTATTTTAAAAACAAATAATCAGTATTAATCAACTGATGAGAAAATCAAAATGTAGGCCTAATGTTTAATCGTTTGTCTTGACGTTTTCGTACTACGGGATAGTACCCTATTCATTATCCTGTTTATCTATGACGACATAGAGGTCAAACTGAAGTTAAAACAGGGTAAATGTTTTGGTATATGGGCAGTTTGATCCCCAAGTTAATAGCAGGGTAATTATCAGAGACTTAGACATTACATTTACAAGAATGTACTGCTATAAATTACTTTCTTTTCTTTTATCAAAGTTCTGTGTATAGTAGTGCGAGCGCTAGATTAAAATTGGTCATGGCCAGTGATATTCATCGCCTTTTCTTCAAATTATAGAGGTATTTTTAGAAATGCAAACAAATTATAAAAAATACGGCTGAGACTATCAAAAGGTTGACCTAATAACACTTTGACGTTTAAACTAATACCACAGATTATACAGATTATAAACTTTGTTTTTTCTTTATTGTTTTTCGTGGTTCCAATTTTCGGAATCGGGCACTAGTTAGGTTACTAGTTTGCGCACATAGGACGCCCACTTATGGCCTCTAAAATTGTGCACAGCGCCTGACCGGCACAGTTATTAGAGAGATATCGGAAAACCGAATAGCGTCATGCAGTATTTACGCGTACCTTATCATGGCTACGATATGCGCGAGTCAATTTTTAACGCAACACCCGCTAATAACGTTACCGCCTGACGTAATTTGCGGATCAAGGTAATTTATTAGGTAATTTGATATTTAAGTAGCTGGGATTAGTTTTAATTAAATAAATATGGCCCAAAATATAGATTCCACCTCTTCCAATATTAAAGAACCTATAAAGAGGCTTATGTTTACAGCAGATGACGACTTAGCCCTTATAAGAGAATTTGTTGCTTGTTGCCCTAAACCCACTGGCAGACGTTGAACAATAAACCACTGGAAATAAGCACTTTAGCCCTTTAGTTTTAAAATACCTAGTAAACAAAACAATTTCAAAGTTTTAAATTCAAAGTTAGGTTAAGTTTAAATAGCGGACGCGACGCGAACAGAATTCTTTCCGATCCGATAAATATAAATGAAGAGAGTTAATACCACCTCACGCTATTCGGTTTAGAGATATCTCTCTATTACGCTGTTTATTGTTATTTTACGCGAGTTTATTTTTGCGCACAGGAAATTTTACTCGTTTGCACATCGTCATAAAAAACAATTTTCGTACCACGAATTAGGGACAGGCATTTTTATCTGCATACTTATAGGATACCTAATCTGTGCTAATACTTCAAAAGTAACCTTTTTCCAAAGCCTACCATGACTTCACTGAAGCGTCGTTTCTTGTTCGCTGTCATTGGCATTTTAATTATTAGATATTAAAACATCTGACATTATGGTATTCTTAAAAATACTATACTGTAATAAATTAGTCGTTTTTATTTTATGCTTTATTAGAATGGTCATAATCAAGCGTTTTCGTTTTTATTATATTTTTGCTAGGATCTTCTGTTTGAACAAATATATCCTGATTGGTTTTTTTCTGGCTTTTTAAGCATTTATTCTGCTTTTCTGTGAGCTAAAATTACACATATTATTGCTCTTAATTTTTTTGAAGAAACAAGCAATATTTGTGAAATTGTAAAACAGCGCCCCTTAGCGTCTTAAATGCATATTGTTAGTTTTTGTGTGGTATAATATAGAGTAAGGAACGCTGTTTTTAAACCAGCCCCAGTTTGTTAGATTCCGACTATCCAGTTCGGAGTTATTAACATTTAAATTAAAACAGATCTAACCTTCCCCCAGCACTTCATTTGGTTCAAACAGAAAAAAACCAAAATTTACTTAAGTTTATAGCGCCATTATTTATAGTACCCCTTATTCCCTTATCTAGGCAAAATTTATGGTGGGTTCATACAGCCAAATAAAATAAAATAAGAATAAAATAAAATAAAATAAGAAAGTTGGTTATATGGGATACCGTACATGCGTTCATACAGCCAAATAAAATAACAAATAAAATAAAAAGTCTTTATCTTTTAACTTCTTGTTTTATTTTATGTGTTATTTTATTTTAAACGGCTTTGCGGACGCTTAATTCTAACCTACAAATATTTTCAGTTTGGATTTAATTTATTTTATAATTTCACATAAGTAAAATATATAATATAGTAGGCAACGAACAAATAAATATACTATAAATAGTAAAATTACTATAAACAATCGTAAAAGTTAACTTTTATCCAGCCTCATCGTACTGCGCATGAGCAAATATATATTTCTTATTTTATTTTATTTGCCTGTATGAACGCACACAAATAAGAATTCCTTATTTCTTATTTTATTTTATTCTTATTTTATTTTATTTGGCTGTATGAACCCACCTTTAGTAAAAAAATAATTTTCTTATTTCCCACAGCAGTTGCACCCTCTAGCGGCAATTCTACAAATTTGAAAATAATTTCCAGCAATTTCTCGTGACTACTTTAATTTCTCTTCCCGCAGGCCTTACGGCTAGTACTTTCCGAGGGATAGACGAGATCTATTGGTAGTGAAACTTTGCACTTTGTCCGGCAATTTTTTTAATTTAAATATTTAAAAATTTTCATAGTGAATCAAGTTTTTAATTTTTTAACTTAAATTGGAAATCGATTTAAGGGGAAGTACCAATTAGAGTTCAACCAAGACCTTCTATCGATGAACACGAGGATGTTTTTGGAACTCCCCCGCTTTCTCGTTCTGCATCTCAATCAGAAAAACACGAATCTAGTAGCTCTTGTTTTGGCAAAAGGTTAGGTTCTCTGAAGCGGAGCCAGCATAAAGATGAACATTCCGAGGGCAAACTTTTAAATTACCCTAGAGCCATAAAAGGATTAGAAAGCAAATCTAACCGAAGTTTACCTCGGGCCTTGAAAATCCAGGAAGGGCCAAGGTATATTCTGTTTTTTAAATTTAAAGTATGATACATTTTATTAATGGTTTCAGGGACTGTGATGAATACACCATTTCGCATTTACATTATTCTTCAGATAAAAATTTGTCTAGAAAAAAAATCATACGAGAGATGATTTATTGTCCTGAAACAGTAAACGAAAGCCAGTTTGCTCAAAATCGGATTTTGGATGATACCAAAGTCAAGAAACGCCGAAAAAGAGTGGGAAATTAAAGAGACAAACTAGTTTTTGGTTCCGCAGAAAAGAAGTCATCTAGGTCACTTCCAGGGTTTACTAACAGGGTTGGAGACTCTTCGCGGTAGATTCAGTTTAAATCTCCAGATTATTTTTTTTATGAATAATTTCTTTTTTAATTTTTTAGAGCAAAGCTGAAATCTAAAGCAGTATATCCCAATATCCTTGCCTTTAGGTCCAGAGAGAAACAAATCCACTCCAAAGCTGGCCTTTTGAATTGAATATTGATGACAAACAAAGCAAGAGCACTGGTAAACTTTCAAAAATCTTCAGTGGCAAGGCGGAAAAGAAAGAAAAAACTTTCTTGGGCTCACCTAAACTACATCGAGCCATTTTTGGCAGGTCCAGTGGTGCTAAAGAGGGGGCTTGGACTCCATCTAGCTCACAGGTAGGAGGTTTAATTGATAGTTGTTTTAGAGACATTAGTTGCTCGCTCATTATCAGCTACCATCATTTGTATCAAATTTAAAACAAAAAACATCTCCCTTTAGAACATTTTTTGTAATGGCAATGATTGGAAATAAAAGATATATATCGTTTGTTCGCACAGCTTATAATATAGGTTGTGCGAACAAGCACTAGAGGCGCTGCTAGTCATTAAAAATATTAATTTGTTTTTTTTTAAATATGTCAATATTTTTATTTCGTTGTGTTTTGTGAATATTCGGTGTGTGATTTTGGTAATTTCCTCTTTAATTACTGGTGTATTTGTACTTATTTTACCAAGTGAATTTTATTTTAATTATTCATATTTAATTGCAATGACTTCCTAATTGCGACAACAAAAATGGCAGTTTTTTTCGTTTTCCAAATCCCCAGAAAGATTCGAATTGTTTTGTACTTTTTTTTCAATTTATAGATATGTAAAATACAAAATTTATAATAACATCAATAATTGTTTTATTTTTATAAACGTTCGATCGTGTATTGATATAAACATTTTTTTATTGTGACAAAATAGGTATATTAAAATTAAATTATATGTTATACAGGGTCGCTGATATGTATGGGAACGGTCGATTATTAGGTAAAATATAAGAGGTGCCGCAAAAAGTTAAATATAAAAGTTATAGAGTTTTTAAGTATCTATTAGCGGGTTATAAATTTAAGTATAGAGGGTCGGTCATAAAGTCGTGGCATATCAGTTTCATTTTTTTTCAATGGAACCCCCTGTATATTATTGCATATTTCGGTTCTTCCTTCAATTCTAAGCAAAAATCGCATACAATGTACCTCAAACCAACTTTTTCCGAGTTCCTGAAGACGCGGAGCACGTGTTCCTTTGTGTGCCCACGTCTCAACTTAATGCGTAGTCATCTGGAGGTTGTCCTCGAACAGGCAATTCAACCAGAGACACTAATTGATGCGATGCTTTCTCCGGAGGCATCCTGTAACGCGACCAATACTTTAATTAAATTATTAACATAATACACAACGAAAGTGCTTCAACACCTGCGTTCTATAGAGAGAAAACGAGCCAGCAACAAGAACGGTTACAGGAAGAGAAGATTGACTTCAATTAATGGAAGGCAAGTGCAATTGCTAGATCCTCTCCCTGCGAAGTAATGCCTAACGGCGGTTTCCGCGGGGGCTGCAGAGGCCGGAAAAAGAGGAGGTTTTTAGTCGGTATTGAAACCTGAGTCCGACATAACATGCCAATCATCTGGCTCTGAGATACGCAAATGTATTTTCCTACCCCTATAAAAAATCTCTGCCATACACATACTCAGTAACATACGTATGTCGCGAAAAATAGCTTATTATCATTAAGGAGGCGTATCTTAGAGTTATCGTTGGGGGGGGGATGCAATATTTGTTTTGCCTATTCATATTTTCTTTTTGGTTACAGCAATCAATTTCAATGTCGCAAAGTTCAACGTCACTGGATAAATCCCCACCCATGTTGCCACAACAGCACTCTGCATCAATTAGGCCTCACGCCGATTACCCAGGTCTAGAATACCCGCCGGTATTCCAACCCGAGACGTATTCTCTTTCGGCCGATCCGCAAACCAGTTTAAATATTTTTAAGGAACAAACAAAAAGCGACGACACAGACAACGACAGCACGTCGAGCTTGATTAGCTTTTGTTGGATATTGCCAATATGTAACAGCTAAGTACAATAATTAGAAATATATATTATTTTATATTAAGTTTTTTAATATATACACATGTTATGCCGATATAGTTAGAATTGCTGACTTTATATAGAATAATTTAAGGTTCCTAAATTTAGCAGGGTGTACTTTTTACGTCCTCATCTGCAAGTGGAAGAAATGTATCTATGAAATGGTTTTATACATGTTTGTATCTTAAAATAATTCTTGGTATTTCGCCCACTGTAAGAAAATTTACAAAAATAGTTATTTTTTTTACTAATAGGTAATACAAAAAATTTGCCGAAGTGACAAAAATTCTTAACGTTTCGGGAAATACACCTCTTCCTATCGTCGGAAACAGAAAAACAAGAGAGAAAAAATATATTTAAAATATCCAAATACAACTATTCAAAACAAGAGATATACTTCCCGAAACGTTAAGCATTTTTTCCCGTTAGAGCAAATTTGTTTTATTAGTAAACCACCGCTGACAAATTGGTCTCCGTTGGATTAACGCAGCGGTGTTTACAAAAAAAGAACTATTTTTATTTTTTTTTGTAGATTTTCTTACAGTGCAATGGGCGAAATACCCAGAGACTTTTTTTGGAGAGATGAATTCGCTACAGAGGTATAGATATTTTTAAATGTATCTATATTTAGTTATGTCACCTATAAAGAATCACACAATTTTTTTATGGATTGATAAAAAGTCAATGCTTATTAAAAAAACTCCTGTTAATTATGCCTACTTGATCATTTTTAATTAACATTGCGGCATTATTTTATGAAAATGTTTTCTCAGCAATTTTTTCTCTTTTTCGTATACACAATAAGGTATATTTTTATAAATTGACTTTATTCTTTACAGACATTTCATTCTTTTTGCTAAACTTAGTACCTTTATAGGTAATTATTTTATGAAGAACTCTATTTTCTGAATAGTTATTTAAATTAGATCATCAATTTTGAGGAGGTAATAATAATGCATTGTATACTATTTACTATTTCTGATATAAATATTTAGTCTGAATTTAACCACTTTAAAGTTATTCTTGGAGACTTAAATGAAATTAAATATAAAAGAATGTAAATTATATGAGTAATAATTATCTTATAATCAATTTCCTATATTTAAAATTAAATTCATGTAATATATCTCTATAGGTCATACCAAATAAGCTTTTAGTTACGTGATTAAACTACTTTTAATAATAAATAGGTTCTTTTAATCAAAATATTTTAGGAAACAAAAATGAATTAATTAAAAACATATAAACAGTTATTATTTACATCAACGAAACTCGCCTCCTTAACAGGAGAAAGTTTTATAAAGGGTTGTTATTATTGCCGCCTTCCTATTAGATATATTTTAATATTGATGCGATGAGTTTTTTGCATCTTGCAAACATCTTGTACAATTCGCAATACAAGCTTTTCTAAAAAGAACAATTTTCAACCGCAAGGTCTGCTAGTACAAAATTTTAAGCATAAAATATCACGACAGAATTCGCTTTAAGCAACAAATCGTAATACAAAACTAAAATGTCAAAACTAGTCGAAATATCAGTAAGTAAATATGACAACTTGACATTTTTTACAGCAGAGCTGCCACTTGAATCGTTAGCGTAAGATTCTCATTTTCAGCCCGGCCGGCGCGCCGAATATATCGATGGTTGGTAACAATGAATTTAATTATCGCGCACTTGATGACGTAACTAAAAGTTTATTTGGTATCGATAGTATATAACTGCTATTTTATTATTTTTTTTATTTTCAATATTAAGTAAGAATGACATTAAAGTTTTTGTAAAATATAGAAAATTGGTCATGGTAAATAATTAATTAGCAAGCAGAAGCGCATGAAAAGGAGAGGTAATGGGGGTAATTATTCCTCTTAGGATGAACTACTTCCATTACCCCTCTCAGTTTCAATCTCTAGATGCGCCACTGTTTGCGAGTGGCATTTCTTGTGATCTTTATAAGTAAAACTTTTTACAATAAATAGATAAATTTTGTTCAGTGAATACATATTGATTAATTGTATTATAAATGAAGAGTACACGTGAAAAACGACGCCTGTCCAAAACCAATAAATGTTTAGGAAATCGTTTTTTAATTTAATTTACGCATATACTTAAATTGTTTTTCCCGAGTATGTGGTATTTTTAAATGCTTGTTTCTATTATTCCAGTTTATTTAGGTACCAAAAGGTGTAGCTTTTTAAGACGGAAAATATTATGCATTAAAACCAAATGAGCGAAAACCGGACTGTCATAGTTTTCCCGTGTGGTTTTCAATTGTTTTGCATCACAAATTCTGTAATTTTTTTCTCAGTTTACTGAATTTCATTTCTGACTGAACAAAAATTTATGTTAACTTTTGGACTGACATAAATCAAAATTAGGTAAAGCCCCATACTCACTATGCGCCGATGTGTCGATTTGATATGCGTATTTACACGCATAGTGATTATTATCTGGTCCGTCGATGCGATTTGTGAGTTCCTTCGAAAATTTGTTCATTGTGTTCTTGATATTTCTTTTGACGGTTCGCACAAAAATCGATATGCCGCCGAACCGCCGCACAATCCATCGCTTCGACGCATTGACGCACGAAATCGACGCATTAACGAACCGCATTAGCGCATAGTGAATATGGGACTTAAGCGTGTAAGTAAATATTATTGATAATTATAAATTTTGTTAAGCAGAGACGCAGTTAACATGTAACGCTTAAAGCCTGATATTCATGCATCCGTTATCCGTTGATACGATGGTCCGACGGCGCTTGATTGGTCATAGCGTTTTCGCGCCACTTTATATCCGTAAATTACTCACGTCCACGGAGAAAGATCGTACCATAACGTTTTGACTTTTGACACTTTTTTGACAATAATTGAATCATTAACATTAATTAAAATTTTATGTACAGGAGCTAGCCGTCAGGAAAATGATTTATTGTAAGAAAGGTCTAGGTTCTTTTAATTTTATCTTTTTCTATGGCTCTGACCAAAGGCGGGCCGTCGGGTGTCGGTAGATACTGCGGGTTCACTATGCGCATCACTCTGTACAGGGTAGCCCCATTTTCGTGGTTTATTTTTGGGGGGCGATTTTCTTTCGTTTTTTTTTATTGAAGTAGAGATTACAATGATGCGATTTTCCAATTACTTTGCTACCCTTTTTTATGAAATAAATATTGCAATACGTTTGTCTCGGCCTCCTTAGTTCGATACAGAGCGAATTTGTTGAAGCGCAGTAGTGAAACAGATGTTGAATCAGATATGGATGCCGCAGTAGTGAACAACACGGATTATCGGCAGCATTTACGGTCCGCATCTATTCAAGGGGAGCATACAAGATTTTGACAGACAGTTTTTTCTTAAAATTCTCTTTCCGAGAAGTATCTTAGCTATTTAAGTAAACACGAAATCGTTATGGAATTCATATAAAATGGCACCAACTCCAAGCAAATCGTACATCCGATGACAGAGGCCATGACAATGATAATTTAAAACTGCCGTAATTTTCTAACCAATCGAATCATTCACAAATTAACCAATTAAAATTTAATATGTATGTCGGATAACGGATGCTTGAAAATCAAGCTTAACCCTTAGGGTTAACTCTTAATTAGGTTTGTATAATATCGTTTATTATATTTTTCTATAATCTTTTGTCAACAACTAGTTAACATTCCTTGGATTATTCTTTATATATTTAAAAAAAACTATGTTTTTTTTAATGTTAATAGCATGAGAAAAATTAAGACTGGAAAACATATGGAAGAAGGATTAGAAACGACGTTCTACATAATCGTGATAGTTGAATTATATTTTTGATTAGGGCGGCGTGACAGGACTATTGGATATTGTATATTTGTTTAATTTAGAAATTTTAGTATAGATTTATTACTTATAAACATTTTGGGAGATATTTGGGTTTCAGTGCGCCCGAAGTTAGCAATATTGGACTATAGTATTTTTGTGTCTATTTAAGCTTAATTTTTAATTTATTGTTATCGTGTCTTTGTCTATACAGAAACGATTTGTAGTAATAAATCTTGTATTTATTTATACATAAAAAAAAAAAATTTAGATTTTTTTTTTTTCTACAATTGTTTTTTGTATTTTACCTAAATTGTTATTGCAGTATTAGAACTTTTCTTCACGTTGGATTTAGGTAAATTTAGGTACTTCGAAAAAATGTTTCTATTGCTTTTTATAGTTTATTGTGTGATAGTGCCAAACTAGACAATAAATATAAAACGTATACTATAATTAATGATTGTATTTTTTATATAGGTTTATTAAAGTTGAATCTTCTCTCTTTCCCTTC